CTCGTGGTGATCGCTCTCTTTTCTACCTACACCAACCAGCCAGCAACACCTCCTCCGCCTGCCTGGCGGTCCTCGCTCCCGCCGGAGAGCATGGCGACCCACAAGCTGGTCCTCCTCTGAGCATCCTCACCAACCAGCTCCCTCTTCTTCTCGCTACAGCCGCAGCAAGCTACACCTCCTCCTCCGTCGCTGCCTGGCGGCCCTCGCTCCCGCCGGCGAGCATGGTTTCCCACAAGCTGTCCTCCTCTGAGCACCCTCACCAACCAGCTCTCTCTACATCACGCTTGTAACCATGCTGCCACATCCAATACAACATGTATACAGAGAGCACATTGTGAGTTTCCTTTCTCCGTCCCATCTTGGGTGTGAACCAAACATCCCGTACGCCACAAATGGTGACCCACGGAGATTCGCACTCACACAGGATGGAGGAGAAACTGATCACTCTCCCAGTCTTCAAGCAACATGGAAGACTGGCTTATCCACCCAGAAGCAGCTCTCATCGGCTCTACAGCTACTGTCTCTAAACCGCAGGTTAGACACACTAGAGCAGCTCTGCTACTCTAAGCAGACAGCCGCTCCTATTCCTGCCCCAAGCACCACGTCCTACCGACCCCAACACACCCGTCCTGCCTCAGACGCCGCCCCCGGCCCAGCAGTACCCCCTGCCGCTTCTCCTGATGCAGCCCCTGCTCCCGACGCAGCCCATGCGCCTGAGTGCGGACCAACATACCCGTCCTGCCTCAGACGCTGGCCCAGCAGTACCCCCTGCCGCTTCTCCTGATGCAGCCCCTGCTCCCGACGCAGCCCATGCGCCTGAGTGCGGACCAACACACCCGTCCTGCCTCAGACGCTGGCCCAGCAGTACCCCCTGCCGCTTCTCCTGATGCAGCCCCTGCTCCCGACGCGGCCCATGCGCCTGAGTGCGCCTGAGTGCGGACCCACACACCCCTCTTTTCTCCCTCAGGTACTCCCTGCTACTTTCCTGCACCCTGCTGCTGTCGTGGACCCAGCTGCTGTCACGAGCCCTCATCCGCTTCTGCTGACGCAGCCCCTGCTCCTGACCCAGGCCCACACACCCCAGCAGGCGCATCTGACGACTCTGTACCTGCCGTGAGGGAAGCACAACATTCATCGCCTCCACAACCCTCTTTCTCCCTCTCTTCTCCCACAGATCTTGTGTGTCTAGACAGTTGCCTCCACTAGCTGCCGGCTCATCCACGCCATCGCCGTTATGTTTCACATGAGGCATGCACCGCCTGTTCTGCCTCACATGTGCCATGCAACCCTGCAGACAACAAGTCTCCTACACCGCCTGGAGGGAAGGAGGGAGTATTGTAGTGGATTTCTCCCCTACAAACGCTGTTTGTCACTGCGTAGCCGACCCCACGAATTCCCCAGTGTATGCCTCGTGGTCTGGGTCAACCAGCGCCGCCATACATCACGGAGGTCAACTACTAAGCCACGCCTACCCCCCGCTATTTAAGACCTGACTTCGTGGTGATCGCTCTCTTTTCTACCTACACCAACCAGCCAGCAACACCTCCTCCTCCTCCACCTGCCTGGCGGTCCTCGCTCCCGCCGGAGAGCATGGCGACCCACAAGCTGGTCCTCCTCTGAGCATCCTCACCAACCAGCTCCCTCTTCTTCTAGCCACAGCTGCAGCAAGCTACACCTCATCCTCCGTCGCTGCCTGGCGGCCCTCGCTCCCGCCGGCGAGCATGGCGACCCACAAGCTGTCCTCCTCTGAGCACCTTCACCAACCAGCTCTCTCTACATCACGCTTGTAACCACGCTGCCACATCCAATACAACATGTATACAGAGAGCACATTGTGAGTTTCCTTTCTCCGTCCCATCCTGGGTGTGAACCAAACATCTCGTACGCCACAAACACACCATACTGCATCCACTTGGCTGCCACACCCCAAAAAAAAAACAGACATCCCTAAATAAGAACCCTCAGAAGATTGTGCCAGAATGGGGTTCTAAGTTAAAGCAAATTTAATTACAGTATAAACTCACACCTTTGAGCAGCACACATCCAGTACTGTGCAGAACTTTATTCTTGTTTCATGCCATCCAGGCTCTTCGGTGTTTGAAAATTTGATTGTTGGTGTAACGTTTAATAAAAAAAAATGAAAGTTATCTGAATCAATACTGTAACTGTACGTGGTAAAATTTTCATGGTTCATAAAATAATCCACAAAATAAATATCAATAAATATAAGGTGAACTCCCATCAAAGACCAAGCTGGTGTATGTAGGGTAACTTACATCTAGGTAATATTTTGTTTTCCTTTTCAGAGGAGCAATTTAGTTTCCTTTGATCAACTGAATTCATGTAATTGGTCATAATTTGCAATACAGTACAGCACCTTAACTGTACCCACTTTCTCACCATAACCTAACTAAATTGACAATCTGAAAAAAACATTGCAGTTGACAGCCTCTTCTGGTACAAATGAAAGGTTTTCTCTTCACTTTCACTCTTCATTTATTGACATTGTCTAGCACTCACTACATCACATCTCCCTCAAACACAGCCGTCTTGTGTAACTCACAACCTTTACTGTCACAAGTTTTCTTCTTTTCTCATTTTGTCTCGTCTCGCCATAATTTCTTTCTTTACAGAGTCATTAATCAGTTACAGTACACTACAATCACACAGTTGCCTTATTTATGATGATGGAACCTGTTTTACCAAAATAACATGACAAAAACTAGGCATATGAAATGAATGACACACCTGATAGACATTTATGTCATGAAGCCAACTATGTACCGAAGATTTTATAAACAGATTTGTGATTTTTTATCATGGTTGTTGGCCTTTATATTATGACTGCCATATTTCTGCCATACAGTATTTAAATGTACTACTGTGCTGGTAAATGGAAAAAAGTCAATGAAAGGTACCACTTACGGATTTTTTTTACTTTTTCATCACCATTTTACAGTCATAATTCCGTGATTGTGTTAATTACATAGAGTATTGTGTTAATTACATAGAGTTTAGATAAAGGCTTCCGTACTATTCTGTACCTGTACAGTGCTGTTCTGTATTTCAAAATCTTCATCTCTTTGGTTACTGATTGCAGATTAGTGTATATATAATTGTACTGTACTGTATTTCAGTTTGTACTTCAACTTTTAACACATCACAGGCCCAATGTGGGTTCTTGGGCCATTGACACAGTGCTTTGTTTGAATCATAAAGTGTATTAGATACTGTACTGTATGTGGTAATTTGTGTTATGGCCCGTGTCCAAACCTGATATTGTGGGTCCACTGCACCCATGTAAAATCACACTTTTAGCTTGCAAAATGGTCATACTCAAAGCAAATAAGAAAGATATTACTGTGTAACTACACTACAGTATTATTATTATTTTACTTTTTGACAAATACAGTCAACCCTCGCTTTACGCGGTCCCACTTTACGCGTTACCCTGCCGAAACCGGAATGCTCACTTTCCGTGGTGTGTGTACCCTTCTACGCGGAGAGCGGCGCGAGCAGGGTGCGTACAAGGTCGCCCAGTCATCAAAACATTGCCGAGTTTTTCACCCGCCACAGCCGGCCCAAGTCAGTGATAGTGATAATGATAGTGAGGATACGGACTTATATGGACTTTGAAGGGTTTGACAAAGAGGCCATGCAAGCCTCTGTGGTGGATAGTGATACAATTGATACAAGTGATACAGGTGAGGGCCAATAATCTGCCCTCTGCCTCGGAACCAACCCCCCATCCCCGTATGCCCAGCCATCTTTTCTACTAATGTAAGTGTTAAAAAACCTAATATTATTGATATTTCTCTTAATTATTAATTGTGTGTGCATACCATCATAAAATTAAGAAGTTATTTTTACTACAACGTAGGTATTGTGTCTGAAAAAGTGGAGTTTGGGGGTCGGCCCGGTCTCTATTTCAATTAATCCCATATGTTATGTTGTTCACTTTACGCGTTTCTCACTTTACGCGGGCCGCCGTGGGTTCAATTGACCGCGTAAAGTGAGGGTTCACTGTAGTTATTTTTCCAATAAATCTTGAGTAAAACAAAAGTTGTGGGTACTTGATAATTTTCATCTGGTTATTGTCATCTCCTCAGATGCGAGCTCACCAAACAATGCTCCCATTTTTGTTGGGCCACTCAAGACTGACACACAGCCAACTGATGACCCAGGAACCTCAGCCAGTGTAAATATTCTCTGGTCCACTTGACTTTCAAACACTTGCTGGTTGAGCACCCTGGGGGACCTTAGAGGATGCTGCTTCTCTCCAGGAATCAGAAGGGGATGGTTACTGGTACTGCCGACTATTCTTGCTTCTTGTAGCCGTTTCATTTACAGAAGGCTAAGTATTTAATTTTATTGAGGAAGTTGGCCTTCTCAAAAAATATAAGAGTTTTATAATCTTTTAACTAGTTTTAAATATTTTAAATCACATGACATCTGCTACAACCCCAGATGAACTATAGTATACTTAATCAATTCAATTTTGTGTTGAGTAAGTCAAGGGCAACAGAAACTTCAAACTAAGAGGAACCATGACAAGGATGGATGGTGCAAAACAAATTTATAAGTGAAAGGAAAGAACTAAGACAACTACTGTATGTACCGTAGATATTCACATACATACTTGACCATCCTTCACAATGTTGTAAGGAAATGGTTTGGTTCCATGAATTGAATCAAACAGATCATTAGAGTTAAATTGCTGTAGTTACCCCGCAGCAGAGTATTTATTGCAGCAGTAAGAATGAATGAATAACAACAGATGAAAGAAGTGTGTGTGTGTGTGCACCCATAATTCCAACCACCTCGCTGTATAGCAAGAACAAGGCTTAAAATAGTGAGAAAAAAGTTTGTACAGTCGTCTGCTGATGGCTAATTGTTAGAATTATTTAATTTTAATACCATATTATTGCTTTAGGTTGTATTATGTCTGAACTGAAATTACTAAAAATCATTTTAAACTGGAATGAAATAATATAGTTATATTTTCTATGTAATATAAAAAGTTTATTTAACATAGGATGTAATGTACACGGGTTAAAAGTGACCTTTAGATGAAAACTTATTATACTTTGTTTTTAGGAAGTTCAAGTCTAAGTCCTTCAAATTGTTATCTTAAATGCTAAATTAAATTGAGAGAAATTTTCCAGAAAATATCATGTTTAAAGTTCAATTTAATTAATTCAACGCATATTAAGACTTTCATTGATAACATTTAAAATGCATACTTTAATTGTGTCAAACTACTGTACAGTACAGTGTATCAAATCCTTTTCTTAAAATTCTTTTTGCAAGTTCAATACTTGAACGTCCCACAACAGTGATAAAGTTTACATTATTTTTTTTGTTGTTTGTAAACTACACCAACTAGCTACTTGTCCCTACATTCTTAATTAAGCAGTACTATAAGTTGGCCTCTTATGTTACATAAAAGTTAACATATACACAATGCAAAGGTGAAGTCCTAGCATGCAGGTGGAGAATTACTAGGTCCCTGTTAGACTCACAAAGTCTTGATAAGATACTTCAGGAAACAACATAGGCTACCCAGAACTGGGGTTCATTTGCAATTTCACATGATTTTGTTTTGCATAAAGAAGATTTGGAACATTTTTCTGTTACACAAGCAGCAGGTGTGTAACCATTATCTGTAACTGTACTCTCCCAGTCACTGAATGACAGAGTAACTCTAAATTATATTTAGAAATTAATCTCTCCCCACAAAAACCAGAGAGGAATACTGAATCTCTCTTCTTTTTTAATTGTTGATAACTAATGTATGTACTAATGTAAAGTGCTTAAAGACCTTGTTTTTAAAGGGCAGTACTGTACTATATTATAACATCAACATCTCTCCACATGTACTGATACACTTGCATTGTGTCACTGAAAATGGATGCCAATGCAGCCTTACTTATATGCTATGATCCAGAAAGGCATTTCAGGATCTATTCTATGTAATATGAGCCTAAATTTGAATATGATTACCAAGTGAATATCCTTAACCGAGCATAAATTACCCAGTACAGTATTGTAATGGTAACCAGGTTAAGAGATGAGAAATACCTAAAATCTTTCTCTAGATTTGCTGTTGGAACATCCCTTAACAATATTGTGTTTTGTTTTAAACATATAGTAACTACTTCTATAAATGAGGTATATGATGGTGGACATCAGCAGAATAATAAATATGACAAGACTTTTATATACTTCGAATTTTGTTTGTTCAATATTTTATGTTTTCGTTTTATCAGACATGAGGATGAACCTATCTGTGATATTTTGACTCAATCCAGTGATAAAGTGAAGCTCATATATCATGTTTTTCATATTATCAGATGTGTGTAATATTGATTGCAATGCCTTTTCTCGAAAATTTTAATGAAAAAAATGGGTGCCTGGCTCTTAAAAATTAAGACTTAAATACAGTGAAATGTGGCTCAGAGTTTTTTCCAATGTCCCACTAAATTTTCCTTCCCAATGGCTAAACATCCATTGCACACCTCAATGTTCATTCACCAGGCATCTTAGGCATCAGTAGATGACAGTACCATGCCAGCATATAAATCAAATATTACCCAACTAAAGCAGCCAGTCACCATAATTCAATGATACAGTATTTCAACAATGGCTGATTTGGCTAACCCCTGATTCTTGCTAGACTATGTTGTTGTTCCAAGTGACACATTTATTTGTGTAAATAACTTTATACATGATGATCTACCAAAACTGATGTCATCCCTGATGTGACCTTATACATAAACAAGAATGCTCTCCTGGTTACATACCACAGGACTACAAGAAACCTACACAAAGTAGAGCTAATATCTTATCATAAATAAGTGATTATTTCACATTAATATTCACTATACTGTACCCTCCAGTTTGATGAATTATTGAACAACAACAACCATGCAAGTTTACTCTCGTCAAACACCACAGTGAGTGCCCAGTGATCACACTCGCCCCTTTGATACCATCGCTCACAAAAACTCCACTGTATTTTTATTTCCTCATTATCAGCACATCTAAGTAATAAAACTAATGTGCTTTAGTTAATTAATCAATTATATCTGTATACCTAAAATAATTTCCAAATAATTTGATACAACATTTTCATTGTTGCTAAATGAAAACACTAGCAAAATTGCACTGACATAAATTACAAAGACCACAATGTTCGCACATGTTCCCACTGTGCATATGCATATGGTGCCTGATATGTTTGTTGAACTAATAGTTTACCATCTGCATCACACTCAAATGGTTTCTTATCATTTTGCACCACAACATGATTGTTCTGATCTTTCTGAATAGCTGGCAACTGTTTTGCAAATTCAGCTTCTCTTCTCTCAGTATGCACAAAACTATGGCTGTTAAGGTAACTTTCCTGTGTAAATCGCTTTCCACACTGTGTGCACTCAAACCTCTTCTCACTGTGTACATACCTATGGCTACACAGATAGCTCTCATGTGAGAAACGCTTCCCACAGACTTCACATGCAAATTTCTTTTCTTCTGTATGTACAAACTTATGAGTCATGAGGTGGTTTTCGTGAATGAATCTTTTTCCACATTCATCACATCCGTACTTTTTTTCTTCTTCATTCATGAATTTGTGGGAATTTATATGATTCTTCTGTATCATTTGTTTTCCCCATTGCTGGAACTCGGCTTTCTTACCACTGTGTGTAAATTTATGGCTGTTTAAATGAATTTCCTGGCCAAATCGTTTTCCACATTCATCACATTCAAACCTTTTCTCCTCATTATGCACAAACATGTGGCTACTTAGATGACTTTCCTGAGAGAACCGTTTCCTGCACACCTGACACTCAAATTTTTTTTCCTCACTGTGCATAAACCTGTGGCTGTTGAGGTGGCTGCTCTGACTAAACCGCTTTCCACAAACGTCACATTCAAAGTTCTTATCGCTGTGTACAAGCATGTGACTATTGAGGTGACTTTCCATGTTGAACCTTTTGCTACATAATGGGCATTCAAATTTCTTCTCATTATGTACAAGCATATGGCTGTTTAGGTGACTTTCCATGTTAAATCTTTTATTGCAAATTTCACATTCAAATTTTTTTTCATTGCTGTGTACCAACATGTGGCTGTTTAGATGACATTCCATGTTGAACCTCTTACCACAAACTGTACACTCAAAGTTTTTATCCTCACTGTGCACGAGCATGTGGCTATTCAGATGGCTCTCCATGTGAAAGCGTTTGGCACACAACACACAAGAAAACTTTTTCTCATTGTGCACAAGCATGTGACTTCGCAGGTGACTCTCCATGTTGAATCGCTTAGTGCATAAGGGACATTCAAACTTTTTTTCATTGTGAACAAGCATGTGGCTGTTGAGGTGACTTTCCATGTTGAATCGTTTACCACACAGTTCACATTCAAATTTTCTTTCCTCATTATGCACAAGCATGTGGCTTGTCAAGTGGTACTCCATGTTGAATCTTTTGTGGCAGATTTGACATTCATACTTTTTATCTTCACTGTGAACTAGCATATGGCTTGTCAGATGATTTTCCATAGCAAAACGTTTGTTACATATCTCACACTCAAAGTTTTTTTCAACTGTGTGCACAAGGATGTGGCTATTCAGATGGCTCTCCATATTGAACCTTTTCCCACAAACCTCACACTCGAACCTCTTCTCATTGTGCACGAGCATATGACTGACAAGATGGCTTTCCATGGTGAACCGTTTATGACACAATAAACATTCAAACTTTTTCTCACTGGTATGAACGAGCATGTGACTGTTCAGGTGAAGCTCCAAGCTGAATCGCTTGTCACACTGAGAACACTCAAATTTCCTTTCCTCGGTGTGTACCACCATGTGACTGTTCAGTTGAACCTCCATGTGAAACCGTTTACCACATAAAACACACTCAAATTTCTTGTCCTCATCATTATGAACAAGCATGTGACTCTTTAAGTGGCTTTCCATGTTATATCGCTTCCCACACAATAAACATTCATGATTTTTTTCTTTACTGTGCTTCAGCATATGGCTGTTCAGGTGACTCCTCTGGGTATACCGTTTCCTACATATTTCACATTCATATTTCCTGTCCATGCAGTGAACAAGCATGTGACTGTTGAGATGATTCTGCATTGCAAACCTTTTATCACATATTTCACACTCAAATTTCTTCTCAGTAATGTGTACATGCATATGGCTTGTTAAGTAATTTTCCATTGTGAATCGTTTACCACAAATCTCACATTCAAATTTCTTTTCTCTGCTATGCTCTAGCATATGACCATTGAGGTGACTTTCCATACTAAATCTCTTGTCACATATTTTACACTCAAAGTTTTTCTCCTTTGTGTGCCATTGCATGTGACTGGTGAGGTGACTTTTCTGTGCATACCGTTTACCGCACCTGTCACACTCATAGGGCTTATCCCCATCTAGCAGGTGGTTTGGTTCCTTAAGAGGTAAAGAGTTTTCCTGAAGGTGGTAGTGTCCGTAAAAACCAGCAGGAGGATGATGTATGAGGGTTTGTGTTCCTACTGCATTTGTTTGACTCACTTTATGAAATTTTCCAGGATAAGGAATGTGCAATCCTTCCATCATGACGGATGGATCTTATATGTTATATTGTGATTCTCATTCAAATTGGGTCCTCATGTGATCATGCAGTGACCACAAGTCTTGCTGACATTGCTGATGTATAATTCTGTCTTGTTCTCATGATGATACGTCCTTGCCCATGAGCCTGCAACAGATGACTTGTGTTAGCTAGTCAACAAACATTAGCATATAAGGATTTTTTTTTTTTCAAAATTATAAACTATGCAAATTTAACAAAATGCTAATAACCTATCATACAGAGATACAGTAGTAATGTTACAATGTCTCTTTGACCACAAAAACAATCTTTCAATGATCAGGAGACAGTCCTTAAGTTTTGTACTACAGGAATTATCAAATTGCAGTAATGTATTGTACTTTACTCTGAGCTGGGCACAGAGTACAGTTACTGTGTTCTTATTAGCTGATAATATAACCATCTTACATTATGGTCATCTCACTACTTGTGTACTGTATTAGTTCCAGGAAATGGTGCTGATGATGGCAAATGGAAAATTGGGCTGCAAGTCCCCTGCCAAACACTCCAACCTAATTGTTTGGAAAGTTCATCTTCCTAATAAAAATGATCAGTTTAAGGGTCCAGTACAGTACTGTATGTTTAAATTACTTAAACTTTTAATACATCCTCAATGAAGGAACATAAATATATATCAAACACCAATGTTTCCATTTTCTCTTATGTGCATGCTGTATTTATTCAAGAGAATAATGTAAATTTGAGATGCTCTGGCCAAGAACAAGACAACCATCAAAGTGACTTTAGAGGCCTCCGTGTTCTATTTGAAAGAGGGAAACCTCAAGTTGCTTTGCCACTCGTCTTGCTTTCACTCAGAGTGCCTCATTATCTCCTAGGCAATTTCAGCACATGTGTGAAATTTGTTTTGTGGAAAGATAATTTTTATCATGACAGGAAGTTGCTGGATAAAATGGTCTTATGTCACACACACATACACACACACATATAGAATGAAAAAGGGCAGGAAAACTTCATTATTCTGTATATATACAATTGTTCAAACATCCTCCAGGCATAATCCATGTGTAGAAATCCAAAGAAGTGGATCATTACCTTCCAACCAGCTCAGGAACTACAGAGAATTTCTGATTATGAATATTGATGATTACGGACTGTACTGTAGAATGTTCATTAAAAAGTCTTTCTTGTGTATATATATATATATATATATATATATATATATATATATATATATATATATATATATATATATATATATATATATATATATATATATATATATATATATATATATATATATATATATATATATATATATATATATATATATATATATATATATATATATATATATATATACAGTTGTACCCCACTTAACGCGGTCAATAGAACCAAGAGGGTCCCGTGTTAAGTGAAATCCGCGTTAAGTGAACAACAGAACATATGGGATTAATTCCAATAGAAACCGGCCCGACCCCCAAACTCCACTTTTTGAAGGCACATACCTATGTTGTAGTAAAAATAACATCTTAATTTTATGATGGTACATGCACACAATTAATACTTAAGAGAAATAGAGAAATACAGTCGCCAAGTTAATGTCCATTCAAATAATGGACTCAACTCCCTCCCCCTCTCACACTACACTGCCAGCTCTTCCCTCTCTGAGAAATTTTTGGGGGAAAACCACTAAATTTTAATAAATAATACCTCAAACTAAAGTTAGGATAATACAATTGACATTGCTGGATTCCTTGTAAGACCAGGAATATTTTGAATATAAATGTCATATATTTTGCACAAAAGATAACATAGTTACCTAGAGAAAAATTTTTATCTAAAATTTGTATGTTTAATGCAAAATATATGATGTTTATATTCAAAATGATCACCAAATTATAAGAATTCCAGCAATGTAAATTATATTCTGACCGGGTAATTTGTATGAATTTTATGAGCTAAAACAAATATCTTCAGTTAATAAAAAAAAAAATAATCTTCACGACACTATCTGTCAATCAAAGTACCCCACCTTGCCTCCTCCCCTCTTCCAACCGCGCGGTCAGTCCCAACCCTCCCCCCCACCCCCCACCAATCCTCCCTTCAAGAGTTTTTAACATTTTGTATTAAATAATACCTCAGATTAAAGTTAGGATAATATAATTGACATTGCTGGATTCCTTGTAAGACCAGGAATATTTTGAATATAAATGTCATATATTTTGCACAAAAGATAACATAGTTACTCGAGAAAAATTTTTATCTAAAATTTGTATGTCTAATGCAAAATATATGATGTTTATATTCAAAATTATCACCAAATTATAAGAATTCCAGCAATGTAAATTATATTCTGGCCGGGTAATTTGTATGAATTTTATGAGCTAAAACAGGCAGTCAGGCAGGGTGGCGGGTGGGGCAAATCTAAAAATAGCGTCTCGAGCCGGACACTCACCGCGTATATGTGGAAAAAATCCGTGTTAAGTGAAAGTTCAGCTCTGGCGAACAGAGATATCACTATACACTAATACAGTACTGTATAAGAGATTTCCGGGTAATGAGACGACTCTCTCAAAGCTGGGAAAAAAAGTCCCTCATCCCCGAAATTTTCTGGCTAACGAAAAAACGTTATCGGAAGTTACAGAAATTCTTCATTGAATCATGTCTTGAACCTGGAAAAATATCCTCCATCCTCGGAATTTTACATAATTTTCTTGGAATTTCCAGAAAATCCGCCTGGTTTTCATCCATCAAAATAAACTCCCCCCCCCCATCCCCGGAATTTTCCGGAAAATCTTTCCCAAAGCCGGAATTTTCCAGATAATTCTAGCTTTGGGAACGATTTTCCGAGAAAATTTCAATTCCGGCTATCGGAGAGTTCCGGGTTTGAGGGATTCCGGCTAAAGGAGATATTACTGTACCGAGTGTGTGGCAGATACTGTATTATGCACATCCCTTTTCAGTGTTTTTCTTCTTCTGAAAGCTGCAAACTTTTGTAGATTCATTTTATGCATCTACTTAAAGGTTGCAGGAAGTAAGGCTACACCCATCATGGATCTGTTGTCATTAACATGTACGAGGATGTCAGGAGCCTCAGGTACCTCCCACCCCTCAACCCTTTTTGAAAGCTCTATATGATATGAGGCACTTTGGGCAGGGGGGGGGGGGAGGCCAGAATATGAAGTTACATTTGACTTTCTTGAAATAAATACAAGTATAATATTGTACTGTACACTAGTTAATAAACATAGCTCAAGCCAGTTTGTCATTAGTCTTGTTATTTTGCCTGTAGTGTCTTACATACAGTGGAGTCTGTCAAGACTATATATATATATATATATATATATATATATATATATATATATATATATATATATATATATATATATATATATATATATATATATATATATATATATATATATATATATATATATATATATATATATATATATATATATATATATATATATACATACATACATACATACATACATACATACATACATACATACATACATACATACATACATACATACATACATACATACATACATACATACATACATACATACATACATACATACATACATACATACATACATACATACATACATACATACATACATACATACATACATACATACATACATACATACATACATACATACATACATACATACATACACACATACATACATACATACATACATACATACATACATACATATATATATATATATATATATATATATATATATATATATATATATATATATATATATATATTATATATATATATATATATATATATATATATATATATATATATATATATATATATATATATATTATACTATATATATTATATTGTATATATTATACTATATATATTATATTGTATATATTATACTGTATATATATACAGTATATATCCTTTGTTTAGTCTTTGCCATTCTCATAAACTTATTTATTTATTCCTTATCTTTTTTTATTCACCAGTTTTACAACCATATAATTTTCTATTCCATAATTTTTTTCAAACACCCAAACCATCTTTAAACTCATCTGCTACTCTTTAATCAAATCACTCCTCTCTCTCTCTGTACCATACATTCCATTATCTCAAGCATTTATCATTTTATCCCCATCTAACTATAGAGCACATCGTTAAAAATTCACATCCACAACCTTGTTATTCACCTCACACATAGCACTGTACATGTTTTAGTCCTACACCACCAAGGTAAGGTTCACTATACCACATGTGTCATCTTATATCTCTACTTCTCAAAATGAAGAACAGGATCCTCTTGGAGTATAGTGTATAGCTTAACAAGACTATCTCAGAGCTACCAGTACAAAGCACAAAATTCCACTCCACAAACTTTTCTTTACTTTTTTGAGATTGTTTAGTACCAAATCATGCATCCTTACCAAGAACACTCAGACTAAATCTTCACTACTGTGCTTCTATTAACTTTGAACTATGATTTTTATTTTTTTTTTGTATTCTCAAGACCTGTGTGGCAGCAGGACCAGAACAGGATTTCCAGGCTCCTGCTTTTGCCAGATTACAGGGTACTGTATTTATTCTCCAAAGTTAAAATTGCTAGCAACTAAAATTCATTCTAAATACTGATACTGTACTGTACTGCATAGTATTTGGGTCATCCTCTTTTTACAAGTAGCCCAGTTATCAACTTTTCTGCTAGTGTTACTTCTGTAATACTGTACACAACTGTGAAACATTACCCAACAACAGATCCAAGGGGGCTCACCATGTGCCTATGACCCCCCCTTCCCTCAGATGGTCTGATGGCACTTAATGTAAAGATGCTGCTGACTACCTTTCACACATGTCGGTGAAGGTCTCAACAATATTAAAGACACTTTATTTGACCCAGTGTTACCATGTTAGTAGTATTGTACTGAGCAGGAGCCAGGGGTCATAACTTGATTGTGTCCTTAATTCATTGTCTATATAGTCCCCACTTGGGTCTGGTCCACAATAATGTTACCATGTCAGACTTTTTATATAATACTGTAGTTGATTGCAATTGATGAGTTTTATTTCTAACTTGTTCATCTTCAATATTTAAAGCAGTTTTCTGGATGATTTATGTCAGTCAATGGCAAATCTCAAAATTTTCAGAACAAAATTAATTCCCTAGTTTATGGTGATATCAACATATGACATTATTTCAGTGTACTTTAAATATCTAAATGTAACAAATGTGTAGTAATATGTTCACTTAATCTACCTTGAATTATCAATTGTGACCCCTTGTCTGAGATCATATCTCTCTCTCTCTCTCTCTCTCTCTCTACCTGGGTTGTACACACCTCACTTCTGATATACAGTACAGTACTTTATATTGATCCTCTTTCCTGGATTACTCTTTCCTCTACTTCCTACTTAACAACTTGACTCTCATTGCTGTGTCCCGGGTTAAATCTCCGACCCAGGTCAGATGTGAGAAGGTCATTATCTAGTGACTACCAAACAACCCACATTTTCTCCAGATACTAAGTCGACAATAAAGACTGCAATAAAGAACACACCAATTACCCGGACAGCTAGTAAGCTAGAAATGATAAATAAAAAGAAACTACAGCAACTTCTATCAACCTACAATCTACAGTAGTAGTTGTGCTGTTGACAGTTTCTACACCTTAAACAAATTACTGTATGGCCTTGGGGCCTATTTATGGATTCTGATATCTTCATTTTTGGACAGGAATAGTAATTCTCATAGTCTGCTTTCCTAATACAGAATTAAGAATACGTACTGTAATTATATTTTTCAGTCATTGTTTTCAATATTTCAGGTTTCTTGATTTTTAATTCGTCATCTGTATTACAGTGCTGCACCGACTTATAACTTTAAGTTGTGTTCACTAAACTTAAGTGCCTTACAGTACAGTATAAATAACTCAAGTCCTCTGTTATACTTATTCCAGTTCAGTGATATGTAAACTTACATTAATGCTGTTTAATATAAACTCAGGTTCACCATTATACCGATTTTGCTTCAGAGGTGGATGGCTTTGAGGTAAGCGTTACATTAAGTTAAGTGAAATTACGATATTTAATAAAGCCATTACGGTTGGCCATGATTCACCTCATTATTATGCATGCACAAAATCACAGCACAAGTAGAGTATGAATCCAAACTCACATGTACAGGTAGTTCTAAATAAGAGACCAACATATATTACCTCTTTCCAGTCACTGTCTACGCTTGTCTTGTATCACTCTCTCCTACTACAGATATTTCCCACTTTGGGGTTCTGTTCCCCTTAGTCCATAGTACTGTACAGATAATTGGCAGAGAAATAAGGATATACAGAACATTTACTTTCTTGGACTGCCTCGGAGCCGCCTTTAATATGATTTTGGATTTTCACCAACCCATAAAATGTATTGCCTTTACTGTAATATTAATCATGTTAGAAAAACATCCGTCATTCCTTGTTGCTTCACAAAAATTCCATAATGTTTTCCTCTTATGCTGAACAGATGAGATCATGTTTGAATGTGTTGGTGTAATTTTTCGACTTAAAGGGAGTGAAAGAAGAGAGAGATGATCAAGCTTCACTTAAGAAGTACAGACATATTGAAAGAAAGGTCAGTGAATGATTGAAAAGAAGTGGGAATATTTCAATGTGTATTATAGGAGGGAGAGGGAAAGATGGGGTGAAGGATGCAATAAGTGATCCAGGAAACAGTAAGGTGCATCAGTGACTGAGGGCTGTCACTGATGTGTATGGGGAACGACTGGTGATTCTGGTTGTGTGAAGGAACAGGTGTTATCAGTGTACGGTAGATATTTGGGGCCTTGATGCAGAAAGGGAGTACAGTACTATAGTAGAACATGGCAGCAAATGAAATGAGACTGTTTACTCCTCATTAAAGCAACCCAGCAGTTTTAGTAAGTTACTTTTGGTTAACTGGTCACAAGGTATCACTTTTACTGGTTCAGTATGGAAACACTTTGCTTCTTTATATAATATAAAAATTTTATTAAACAAAAAGTAAATATACAGGAGTTATAAGGCCCCCTGCCTAAAAGATAACAGAAGCACAGTTCCGGAAACACAAGTTTGTCTGCGAAACTGATAATTTCTGAATACGTACTGTAGTGTTAGTAATTTTGTTTCATTATAAGCACAGCTAACTCATAACACAAAAACTGACAACTAATTTATCAAAATACTGATGTTAATGAAGTTTATATTTATGGTTTTGGAGCAAAAGAAATGATACAGAACACATCACCAAATCTTAGAACTGTGCTACACATGTTACCGGAACTATGCCATTTTTTTTTCAATTTTCTGCCTAATGTAACTTGAACTGGAATAGTAATATTTATATTCAGGAAAGTCCAAGTATTACACTGCTTAGAATTGGATGGTTCTTGTTCCATCCCATTTACACTAAATAACTGAAAATACTATCGATATCATCATCACAATTATTAAGTACTTTGATAAAAGGAACCCTTCCCTAGTTGACTTATAATAAAACAATTTCACACAATTATAGCAGAGATAAGTTTTTAATATAGTATTTGTATAATGCAATTTAGACCCATCCCAGATGTAATGCTTGAATGTCCCTTAGCAATGAGTACATATATGTATGTGAATATTTTATATTTGTACACTACCAGCTATCAGTCCATAACTTCCCAAATAAGACTAAACCCTTACTTCCTCACATTTAAGTAAATAGACACTAAATTAATACATGTTAGCAAAACTGAGGTCCCAACAGATTTCTAAAATGTCTTTTTATGTATATTATAATTTACTTTTAAATATAAGTAAAATAGTTCTACTGAACAGTTTGATCCAAAGACACAATGACTTTTTACTCTGAAGTACAGTACAGTATTCTCACTTAGCCTATTGGTACCTCATTTATGCTTCTTATATACTCACACATATACTACAGTACGTGATTACATAAAACCCTAAGAGTGAAAACTATTACAGATTGATGTAGGAATTAGCTTATACCATAGTCAGAACCTTACTTAGGTGCACAGAGTCAACAACTCTTTAATTTACTTAAAAATCACAGAAGACTCTTAAAAAGCAGTTACTTTTCTATTTGCATATTGAAAATATGATCTAGCTGCTCAAAAAGTAACTCACCTTTAAAAGTGAACTCCTTTGTCTCAATAAAACTGTCTTTATCCAGAACAACAGCAGATGGCATACCTAGGAGGCCCAAAGTTTACTGTTCATCCTGCTTTCTTTTATAACAAAGAAAGTACAGTATTTAGTTAAATCATAACTCTAAAAAAGTTGGCTAATTTAAATATAATGTACTGCATTAGACTGCCTTTTATGTAATTTTTTTGGGGGGATCAAGTTAAGTAATAAAGTCAGCAAAATCCTACCATCAGAATAAATTTTAATTCTGATTGATAAGCCAAGGCATATAGTGTAATATATAAAGTCAATCAAACAGACTTTGAATAATTTCCTTCCACATGAAGGATTTTCATTTCTTAAATAGCATAGTCAAGTTGCACACATTACGGTCTACCATATATAGATTATAGAATCACAGACAAACATCTTTTCTCTATAAATATTATATCTTAAGTTCATTTATCTATGGAGACACCATGGCCCAGGAGGACTCACTCTGAAGGCATGTTCAGTCCTTGCACTTACTTGATATGGTACACTTAAGGTTACTCACTTTCATTCTAAATTGCTACAATACCAAATATCTTATCCAGGACATTGTTCACCTACTCCATGGAACACTGAATAAATTTTCCTTGCAAAATATATTTTCCATGTCACATCTTGATCATTTAGTTACAACACATCTTACCAACAAAGTCCACGGAGATGAGTTTAATGTGCATAATCAGAATTAAGTCAACTTCTGTAACTAATGACACATATAGTATATTGCTCATTTTCTTTCCTTGATGCAGCAATATGTTGTTCTGTATAAACACATCCAACTTTATCTAAAAACAAAACATTGCAGTGTTTCCTTAAAGTGGCTGTCACATCCCATAAAATTTACACAGGTAATGAGAATCATCCTTCAATTGTTCTGAATTCTGAGTCTGATCAGTAATGGCAAAACTTGCGTCTCACTGTGTTACAGTACAGTATTTACATGTACTGTAGCAGTTATATGCTTTCAAGATTTTCAACTTAAATTTGGCTACAATGACCACAATGTCCGGACATGCTCCCACTGGGCATAAGCATAAGGTGGTTGATAGGTTTGTTGTATTAACAGTTTCCCATTTTCTTCATACTCAAATGGTTTTTTATCAGTCTGGACTTGTACGCTATTAGTCAGTTGCTCAGTCTGAGGCTGTACTACCTGTTTTGGATATTCTACATGTTCAAGGGTTCTCCTCTCAGTGTGTACAAACCTGTGGCTGTTCAGATGGCTCTCATGTGTGAAGCGTTTATGACAAACTTCACATTCAAACTTTTTCTCTTCACTGTGAACATACCTGTGGCTACTGAGGTAACTTTCATGTGAGAAACGTTTCCCACATACATCACATGCAAACCTCTTCTCTTCACTGTGTACAAATCTATGACTATTTAAGTGGCTCTTCTGTGCAAATTTCTTGCCACAATCTTCACACTCAAACCTCTTTTCATCTGTGTGTACTAATACCTGACCATTGATACTTTTCTGAGTGAATCGCTTTCCCCATTCTTGACATTCAAGTTTTATTTCTTCATTGTGCATAAACCTGTGGCTGTTGAGATGAATTTCTTGCATAAATCGCTTCCCACAGAGTTCACATTCAAATTTCTTTTCTTCACTATGCACAAACCTGTGGCTGCTAAGATGACTCTCCTGGGCAAACCTTTTCCTACACACCTCACATTCAAAATTTTTTGTTTGGGTATGTACAAACCTGTGGCTGTTAAGATGACTACTTTGCTTAAATCGCTTGCCACATATGTCACACTCAAACTTCTTCTCACTGTGCACAAGCATATGGCTATTCAAATGACTAATCATATTAAATCGTTTGCCACACAAAACACACTCAAACTTCTTCTCATTGTGCACAAGCATGTGGCTATTGAGATGACTTTCCATGTTGAATCGTTTGCCACATAACAAACATTCATATTTTCTCTCCTCACTATGCACCAACATGTGACTATTAAGATGGCTTTCCATTAAGAATTGTTTTCCACATATTTCACACTCAAAGTTCTTCTCACCATTGTGCATTACCATATGGCTGTTCAGATGCATTTCCATGTAAAACCGTTTGCCACATAGCGTACACTCATACTTCCTCTCATTATGCACAAGCATGTGGCTGTTAAGATGACTTTCCATGCTGAACCGCTTACCACACAGCAAACACTCAAACTTCTTCTCACTGTTATGTACTAGCATGTGACTGTTCAAATGACTTTCCATATTGAATCGCTTATCACAAAGACTACATTCATATTTTTTCTCATCACTGTGAACCAACATGTGGCTATTGAGATGATTTTCCATGTGGAAGCGTTTCCCACACAAGACACACTCGTACCTCTTCTCTTCACTGTGCACTAGCATATGGCTATTTAGGTGATTTTCCATATTAAACTTTTTGCTGCACAAGGTGCATTCAAACTTCTTATCCGTACTGTGTTTCAGCATGTGGCTGTTTAAATGACTTTTCTGACTGTACCTTTTCCGACACTTTCCGCACTCGTACTTCTTCTCTTGGTTGTGTACAAGCATATGACTGTTGAGGTGATTTTCCATAGAAAACCTCTTGTCACAAATCTTACATTCAAATTTTTTTTCAGTAATGTGCACAAGCATATGACTATTCAGATAATTTTCCATAGCAAATCTCTTACCACAAACCTGACACTCAAACTTTTTCTCCCTGTTGTGCTCATGCATATGGCCATTGAGATGGCTTTCCATAGTAAAGCGTTTGCCACATATTACACACTCAAAGTTTTTCTCCTTACTGTGCCAGAGCATATGACTTGTAAGATGACTTTTCTGTGCAAAACTCTTACTACACCTGTCACAGTCATATGGCTTCTCATCGTTTATGTTAATAGAGTCTTTGTTAGCTTCTAAATTATTTTGATCTTGAAAGTTTCTTGTCTCTGTACCAACACTTTTCTGGGTAACAAAGCTTGTAGACTCTGCACTTTTTGGGGTGTGAAAATCTGCAGTATCAGTACTCTTCTGTGCATGAAAGATTGAAGACTCTGCATTTTTCTGGAAATGGAAGTTTGCTGAATCCACACTTTTTTGGGCAAGAAAGGCTACAGCGGATTCTGCACTTTTCTGGGCATGAAAATTTACAGAATCTATAGTTTTCTGGGCATGAAATGTTCCTAACCCTACACTCTTCTGGGCATGGAAGTTTCCCAACACAGAATTTTTCTGGATATGAAAATTGCCATAAAAAGGAGCACCAGGATGAAGAAGGGTCTGCTGACCCACCACTGTACCTGCTGGATTTACATTATGAAATTTTCCTGGATATGGAATGTGTAATCCTTCCATCATGAAGATGGTAACTTCAAAACATTAATTTGGTTTTCCTTCGTGCCATTCCTATTTCAGCTCATTGTGAAAGTCGATTATCATTCATCTTGCTGTCTTCACCTTAGATGTTCAACTTCAGTTTGAACTCGTGAAGGTACATCAGTAATCTTGTGTCTGAAACAAATGGTTTTCGTTAGCTGATAATATCAACACAGCAAAACAGTGGATTTGTTGATTGAATATATATATAGAATACTAGATAAGATAATGAACACAATTTACATATCAGTTACACAAACATAATCTTAAATTGATAAAAACTATTATATAAGCAATAACATTTCATCCAATACACCCGGCTACCTTATGGAAATATTAGCCTATAAACTAATGCAAGAAGTTTAAGTAGGTTTTCAGGATATGGCTTAGAAAGAAAGTGATTCATTTTTGAAGATGCCACCCAAGTGATTCATGGAACTGTTCTCAATCAAATCAGTTGGAAATGCTGAATAATCTTTTAATTAGTACGTATTTCTAAATAAAGCAACAACTGGGAACTTCTAGTTAACACCAGTAAAATGATGACCAAAGTAATGGAATTTTTTTTATTCATTCTGGATGAAGTCTGAAAGTGTAAATGGCTCTAATAAACTTGTAATACATTTTCACTACCAATACTGTACTGTACATGAGTCTGACTTATGTCTCATTAATATATTTCTGCAAAGGAAAAACAAAAATTGCCATATACGTACAGTATAAGAACTTGGTTCTAATAGACTTCGTTCTCCCCCCAAAAGTTAACTTCTGGCCAATAACACCCAACTACACTCCCACTTAATAATGCCACAGTGTAAAACAGTGATAAAGCTTCTTCACTCCTTCCTAATCTTACATTTATTAATTTCAGTTATCATTTTATCTCAATAAGCTGGAGGATTCTCATTCTTTGAAGAAATGGCTCTTGTAATAACTGAAACTTCAATGTAATAAATTACGGTAACTAAAGCATAAAATTCTTCATTAAGTTTTAAATTGGTCAAGCTGTGGCAAAAGTCGTAATAACATGAAAGTATAAAATCACCGGTATTTTGAGAAAATTCCTTGTGGACCACCCAGGTTGATCTGTTGGATACCGTGTGTGAGGTACGGACTGAAGCACAAGAGATATTCCACTTACTACATGTTGTTCATAATGACAACACACACTCCCCATTACAGTATCTTAATCTCTGCTGACAAACATTATCTTCTCAAACACTCTGAGAAAATAAAGAAAAAGACAGTATAAGAGATCCTTGCCTTGAAATTCATGAAGATTTTTAGTACGTACAGTAATTATAAGCAATGCATTAGTTTATGATGCAATATGATGTGGAATAACATTATACAACTGTTTGCCTTTTCCTATATTTAAAGCAAAGGAATGTATAGTCTTCCCTAATTGTTTAAATTAACAGCTTTCCACTTTCATTGTTGAAAAGCACTTCAGAAACTCAAAAATAATTTGTGAATCTATAAATTAGCACAGCATTCACTTTTTGTGAACCTGTAGTCACTTACGACAAGTAACACACTTGTGTACCTATTCTAGCCGTTACATTACGAAGATAGGTAACTCAGCTCCCCAAACCACTCCATAACTCAAACAATCTATCATGTAAATGAACACCACCTCACTTGGGATATTTGCTTCCTTCAGCAATTTCTGGGTGAAGAACAGTGTTAAAAAATTATTCGCCAACAAAATTCCATTGCTTCAAGTGCCATGGAATTCACCATACTGTACTGGGTACAACTTGGCGGTAAGATTGAGAACATTTCCACTACATGGCACCACCGAACAAACTCCAGGAAATTCTGGGCATCACACAAACCTACGAATCCTTCAATTACAATAAAATGTTGTGTCAAATGTTTGTTGTATTATACCTAATGAGCTAAACCTGTAACCCAACCTGATAGAAAGAGGGAATAACACAGTACTATCTGTAATACATAACCAGTACCCAACAATGAAGACACTTTTGTATTATGACAATATATACAGTAGCTACATACAATAATGCCACTTGGGGTACAAGGATGACAGTTCAATGAAAATGTTTTCAATGAATATAATACTATGTGCAAAAAGAAAGCCCATTACAGAACTGTAATTCTAAATTCTGTAATAAGATACAGTGTGTACTGTACAGCTATAATAACAATATGGCAACAACTTACATGAAAACATTTCCATAACAGTTAAGTTAGTTATCTTAAAAGTACGTGTAATTTACAATTTTTTATAAAAAAAATTATGGGTGTCGGGTATTAAAGAGACTTTTGTAAGTGAACTTTAATTTCAACTTGCCTTATATCTAAATGGGTGTTTTATACATTCATTATCATTATTTTGTAATCATGCTTGTAAATAAATACTATACATAAATAAAATAATACCATACTGTATCATCGTCACATGTACAGTACTGGTAAAGATTTGAATTATAAATTTAAATAATTATTGACAACAAGGAACACATATTCACCACCAGAAGAACAAATAATATACAGTACATGTATTACAAATTTGTGTTATACAATATATCAATTTTAGGACCATTTATAAGTAATGAGTACAACTTTCATGATTATCTTAACATCAATTTACAATGTAAACTGTACATAAAACATACTGTACTGCACACAATTCAATTTCTTACTTCCACCTTTGTCTCCAATGTACCAGGTAACTGCTTCAAGGTTTTGTCATATTTTGTGTAGTTTCTTTCACAGGCCATTTTCAGCATCATAACTATTTCATCAGCTTTGTTTTTTTACCACCTTTATATATTAACTTTGACACAGCTGTAGATACCATTATCATCACTTTCACACATGTTACCACTGGATCAGCCTATATATGACCAGCATTGGTGTAAAATGACAAACTGTAAATCATCTCGACCAAGGAGGACCCAAGAGTGTTATGAAAGGCTGTTGATGTCACTGACACAGTATGACCCTTATATACTGTAGCTTGCTAGGACTACGGTACAATAATTTAACATCACCTTCACACAATCTACCAAGTTCTATAGATATCACTAAGACAATCTTTATCCTGTTTGTCAAACTCTTCCTGATGCAGCAATAACAAAATAGATTAAGAACTAGTAAAATAAGTGTTAGCTGTGTGTGTGTGTGTGTGTGTGTTATACTGCACTGGGTTGTTATACAGTATTAGGACAGTCTGGTGCTAAAATGTAAATTATCTACCTATAACAGCTGTAGGTTTCTGGAAAAGATATTTATGTAGCTTCATCAAGTGTTCATGCTCATACTGTATAAAAAAAACCTAGAAAATATGATGTTTTACTAACTAAATTTAATTATACTGTGTATATATGCCTACTGTGCATTATATAAATATATATGGAGAAGAAATTCAAAATCTCCAGTATATTTCCTGAGTCCATGGGTGTTTGTGTTTTAAGTCCACTGAGAAAGTTGTACTGTATATCCAAGACCTGGGTATGTACTCAGTGACATTTTCTATATACCTGTACAGTATAAGTGAACTCTTCACCATGTCTCGGAGCCAGATTTGTAAAGAAAGCCACAAGGGTGTCTGTGGTGTATTCTATACAAGTCAAAGGAAAAAGTCACAGCTGACTTGATGAAGAGTTTAGGTTTGTGCAGAAAATGGCAGAGCATATTTACAGAATATATACCCATGATCTGGAGGTGTAACATCCTTAAGGAACTCTGCAAACACAAACATCAAGGGATTCAGTAAACACCCCGTACTCTAAAACAGTTCACAATATGCGGTCCACAGTAGGTCTTCTGAAGTACGTACAGTACCGAGCAGTATTGTATACATTACCATTTCATACTACCTCTTAGTCTCCAGAAATGATCAAAACAAATTATAATTTGCATTTTATTATCAAAAGAAAAGAGTAGCAGTGTCATACAACCCAGCATCTTTTATTTGATTCTGTGACAGTACTGTACAGTGAGTTCTGCTATAACGCGTGTTTTGATAACGCGAATTTGCTCTAACGCGATTTATGAATTAGGAACGATATTTGTATAACGCGAACGCTTGTTTGCTATAACGCGATTTTGCTTACTATAGTAAAGTAAAGAAGAATTTCAACAAGAAGCGTTCTGGTGATAGAATTCCCGGTGATGATCGTAAAAGAAAGGATATAACACTTGAAGAGAAGCTCGATTTTATCAACCTCAAAATCACCCTTCTCCCCCATCAAGTAAAGTGTTACATTTACTGTATGATTTCATTATTAGATATGAATGTAACATTTATTTAGACTGTGCTATCCTTTGTGTTAGGCCAACTACTAAATTTTTTCGATTTCGAGTAATCTGCACCTAACCCTATTTTCTCCATAAGCCCTGTTATTTCTATTACGCGATTTTCTATAACACAATATTTTACAAGAACACAATTATCGCGTTATAGCAGAACTACCTGTACACTGCTCATGACAGTACTGTACACTGATCAAGACAGTACTGTACACTGATCAAGACAGTACTGTACACTGATCATGACAGTACTGTACACTGATCAAGACAGTACTGTACACTGATCATGACAGTACTGTACACTGATCAAGACAGTACTGTACACTGATCATGACAGTACTGTACACTGATCATGACAGTACTGTACACTGATCATGACAGTACTGTACACTGATCAAGACAGTACTGTACACTGATCATGACAGTACTGTACACTGATCAAGACAGTACTGTACACTGATCATGACAGTACTGTACACTGATCATGACAGTACTGTACACTGATCAAGACAGTACTGTACACTGATCAAGACAGTACTGTACACTGATCAAGACAGTACTGTACACTGATCATGACAGTACTGTACACTGATCAAGACAGTACTGTACACTGCTCATGACAGTACTGTACACTGATCAAGACAGTACTGTACACTGATCATGACAGTACTGTACACTGATCATGACAGTACTGTACACTGATCAAGACAGTACTGTACACTGATCAAGACAGTACTGTACACTGATCAAGACAGTACTGTACACTGATCAAGACAGTACTGTACACTGAGACAGTACTGTACACTGATCAAGACAGTACTGTACACTGATACACAGTCAAGACACTGTACACTGATCAAGTACACTGATACTGTACACTGCTCATGACAGTACTGTACACTGATCAAGACAGTACTGTAGACAGTACTGTACACTGATCAAGACAGTACTGTACACTGACAGTACTGTACACTGATGACAGTACTGTACACTGATCAAGACAGTACTGTACACTGATCAAGACAGTACTGTACACTGATCATGACAGTATTGTACACTGATCATGACAGTACTGTACACTGATCAAGACAGTACTGTACACTGATCAAGAAAGTACTGTACACTGATCAAGACAGTACTGTACACTGATCATGACAGTACTGTACACTGATCAAGACAGTATTGTACACTGATCATGACAGTACTGTACACTGATCATGACAGTACTGTACACCGATCAAGACAATACTGTACACTGATCAAGACAGTACTGTACACTGATCAAGACAGTACTGTACACTGATCATGACAGTACTGTACACTGATCATGACAGTACTGTACACTGATCAAGACAGTACTGTACACTGCTCATGACAGTACTGTACACTGATCAAGACAATACTGTACACTGATCAAGACAGTACTGTACACTGATCATGACAGTACTGTACACTGATCAAGACAGTACTGTACACTGCTCATGACAGTACTGTACACTGATCAAGACAGTACTGTACACTGATCAAGACAGTACTGTACACTGATCATGACAGTACTGTACACTGATCAAGACAGTACTGTACACACTGTACTGTACACTGATGACAGTACTGTACACTGATCAAGACAGTATGACAGTACTGTATCATGTACAGTGATCATTACAGTACTGTACACTGATCATGACAGTACTGTACACTGATCATGACAGTACTGTACACTGATCATGACAGTACTGTACACTGATCATGACAGTACTGTACACTGATCAAGACAATACTGTACACTGATCATGACAGTACTGTACACTGGTCATGACAGTACTGTACACTGATCAAGACAGTACTGTACACTGATCATGACAGTACTGTACACTGATCAAGACAGTACTGTACACTGATCAAGACAGTACTGTACACTGATCAAGACAGTACTGTACACTGATCAAGACAGTACTGTACACCTTGGCTCCAACCAATGATCTGTAAGCCTAAAAACAAAGTGAGTGCGTCACAAGTAACACACTCGCCATAATCATAACACTATAATGGCAATTTGTAAAACAGTTTCATTAATGCATTACAGTTGAGGCAGATCAAATAGCAATAAGTAGTACAGTACAGTATTCTAGAATGGTTGTTTTTGTCAATGTGGATACTCGGTACTGTACTGTAATGATAAATCACAAAATGCTGATATGCTTTTGTCTTAAAGTAAAATACTTTTAAGTTCAAATAATTCATTACTTTATGTCACCAAAATTTTAAATTACAATAATATGTAACAGAACCTGTATCAATCCAGCAAGGAAACATCATGCAACCACCAGTGTTACTTTAATAAATTTGTTATTACTGTGTTGTAATATTAAAAAAAGGCACTGTTCCTAAAACCCATGATTATTTTCATATTAATAATTTAAAATTTATAAAAGCTGTTAAAATCATGTCCAGTACAGGGAAAAATATACAATTCCTGTACTTGTACAGTACAGTGCTTGGCAATACCTGGGGAGGGGGGGGGGGAGGCAGGCAAAATATTGTAGCTGCTTGTGGCTCTTCACCAACTTGTAAATTTCTTACATGGTTTATTTATACTGCAGGGTTTAATACTTTGTATTGATCATATGCTAAATTTTTTCCCCTGCTGTTCCAAGAAGGGAAAATAGTAATGTTTGCTTCCACCTGTGTGTGTGTGTATTCATGTAGCCATTCAGTTATCCAGGATCTGTAAACACAACAATCAAACAAATATAGAAGGAACCCAAACAATTTTAGTTTATGGATAGAGCACATGATCTCATTTACCTTCAATAATCAAAACTTCTATAATTACTGTCTTGAGTTCCAGCCTTTTGGACTTTGCTGAGACACAGCAGGGGGCTTGCCAACATTTGGTGGCGACCTTATCATAACACTGACACAAACATAAACCAAAAGTTACTAAAATCTGATCATATGCCATGTCAGCATGGACCTACCAGTGCAACCTGGGCAACATATTCTCTCAAAGTGAATAATGTATGTCACCTAGTCATGGAGTTCATAAAGAAGTATTTCAACTAAATAAAGGCCAAATCATACATAAACATCAAGAAATTTATGATATTAATTCAATAATTACTGTACAGTTTTATGTACAAACAAGTCATTTGCACCACAATTATTTAAGCCAGCCTGAACTGGGCCCCAGCAACATCTGTCTCCAACACCCAAAACAAAGCTTTCATAATAACAAGATGCACTGAAACCACATTCTGAAAAATACTACTGTACAGCACATTGAGATGAGAGACAAACACTTTACAACCTCAACTCAACAACTAACACGTACACTCGCACCAAAAGTATCGGTGCAGGGTGTGATCGACGACTTCCGAAACGATACGTATACACTGTGATAGTCAGGAAGGTTGGTAAGTGTATCCTCATAACCTCCCCCCCCCATTAAGTGTTGCCATATGGCTGACAATCAGTGTGTTTGTTTCCTCTTTTCGGATTGTTGCTTTGTGTCGACTGAATGATGAGCGAGGGTTCGGTCTCGGTGAACGTGGGTATAAAACAGAGGCAATATGAAGCAGTAGAGAGCTACACATGCCAGACGACATGGAAGCCTCAGAGGGAACACGAGGAGTTATTATTGCCCTTCACAACGAAGGGTTCGGCATCACAGATTAGCCAGGGGGTTGGTGTCCACAGGAACACCTCTGCACGATGGATTCGGCGATACCTTGAAACTGGTGCTACAGACGACAGGTCTTGGAGAAGCCGTCCACACTGCACCACCCCTCAGAACGACCATGTTGAGTGGTTTATTTGGTAGCATAAATTAATGTGGCAATATTCAGAAGTATCACTGTCTATTTATCACTTCCCGACCTTATTTATTACGGTTTGTTTCACTCGACCAGGACTGCCAACATACGGTTGGAACAACTCGCCTTTCTCAATACCTATCGTCACTGGTCTCAAATTATTCACACTACAGTATGCACCGATACTTTTTGTTGCGAGTGTACATGGCAGCCATTCACGTTATCCTGTACAGATGTGAGGACAGTACTCTGATTGATTGATTAACTACCCTCCACCTCTACACACAAACAGTGTAAGAAACTAGAAATACTTCCAACCAAAAGTAACAACTGTGAAATTACTTGGGCGAGTACAGTACCAGGTCCAATAACCTCGAGCAAGACTGTCTTAACACTTTATCAAAATCAAAATGCTGAAATAAATCAATAGAAAACTACACTAGTCACAAATGAACACTTCGTCATACAGATCCACGAATGGACAGATTAGAATCACCCCTATACAGCATTCAATGATTAACTAACCTCTTATCATTTTTGTTAGAAGCAAATGACTCCAGGAAAGTGATGATCAAAATGCTACAGTCTCCTAAAATGAAAGTTCTATACCTTATATACCGGTAATTCTTCACCAATTCAAACTTTGCAATTTCTATACTAGTTAACTTTGCTTAAAGCTAATGTGTAAAATCACTCGACAAATCAAATACATGTACTGTACTGTACAGTATTACCAAACACGTACGTGACTAATGGTCTCAATTTCTTAGTTAAAACCCTGTATTGTATAGTACTGTATACAGAACAAAACAAATACATCAGTAAAATGTTTCAATAAATGTTATCATCTTCAACTTGTCACATTACATGAGGTGAATCAGAGCTTCCCCATTAATTGAAGCCAACATTCTTATTTACTTGCTCATTAAAACGGTCTGCTAGGTAGTAGTTCATTTCCATTCAATTTTTTATAAATATCCAGTCAATCTCCATTCCGTGATACCATGAGTTGCTGGGTAACGTTTACAGTACTGTACAGATATGAGTCAACACTATGGTTAAGTCATTACTCTCCTCTCATTCCTCTATAAATGAACACGTCACACAATTCTTCCCCTCTGAGAGCAGTAACCTGTCACATCCCTGGAGGTGAAGAGTATAAAGTAAAAATATAATAAGAACTTCTCGACTTTAACTCCGTACCTTGACCCCGCCTCGAAAACAAAGCTTTATCGAGCCATCAACCGTCACACATCACCTTGATAAAATTCTGTATCTTTCTACAACTTCATCCCAGGTCGAGGTATGCAGGAAGACCAGTATGAATGTATGTATGTATGTATGTATGTGTTGGCAGGAATGGGGTCACTGCAACCTCACTGAAACTAGCCAAGGGGGTCGATGTGATTCAAGGCTTTCCGAGCAATGTTACTAAATGGTTGGTAGTTCTACATCCGTGACCTTTGAGCATGACTGAGTATAGTACTGTATATACGTTTTCAAACGATACATTAAAATAGCTTATTGGATTTCTTGTTATACTGAAGTATCAAGTACACCATACAAGGACGACTACCTCCCTCAATCCTACCTCCCATATCTAATGATGCACTGGGATCATATGAAAGCATTTCAATCAGCATTTCAAATTGAAGCGACGGAAAATCTAACAAAATTTTTGGGGGAACTGTACATACACACCCACGGGAGTGAATGTCCTAGGTCATGAGCAGTCAAGTGTGGATGGCAGAAGGAGGAGGCACAAGAGAAAAGATGGAAGAAAAGAGGTAGTAGTAGTCAAATGAGGAGAAGGAGTAAGAGAAGAGGAGGGAAAGGAGGAGTAAAAGCAGTAGTAGTTAACTGAGGAGGAAGAGAAGGGTAATAGCAGAGGAAGTGGAAGGGTGGTAGTTAAAGAAACAGGAGGAAAAGCGGTAACACTGGAGGGGGAAGGGAGGAGGATAAACAGTAAATTAGACTGGAAGAGGAGGATAAAAAAGAGAAATGGAGGGAAAAAAGAGCAAAAATGTCAACCTCCAAGTGTTCTTAATGATTGAGATAAAATAAATATACAGTACACACAAGAGCAAAACAGATTTAGCTCTGATTACAAATGAGCTTAAATGTTACAAATCTACAAACATATTAATACATAGAGAGAAAGAGAGAAGATAGATGTCATTTAAATATTTGGATTCATCATATTACACTGGAAGTTTAAAAAAAAATTTAAATTATGTAGGGGCCTTTTCAACACACTTTAATAATTAGTCAAAACTTGCTGAACATCGATATTATTATGTTTAAAGGACCCAGACATTTTTTTCGTGTCAATATTTTTTTTAGTACTAAAGTACTAAGGTGGCTACAAAAATAAAGTTAATTACGAAATTCGCTTTGTTGATCACACCTAACATCAGTGTTGTACAGAGTGGGATTGGAGCAGTCCTTAGAATCATATAAATTCTTCTCTAGGAATCTACGTATTCCCTAACCTCAAAATGAGAAATAATTGTACAGTTCGACATGTCGAAGAGGTTTACCTGCCCCGAAATGGCAGCGTGACGTCATGGGCAGGTGATGCGTCTGGCAGCGGGGGGGAGATCGTCAACCCTGAAGGTGGCGGCGGCGGTGGCCAGCCTGCGCGGGGTGCCGCGCCTCTATTGTTTCACACAGAACTATTTCTTCCCCAACTCCGTGCTGTCGCTACTCCCACACCACATATTAACTTATACGTCTTACTTTTGAACTTACAACTATGATAAACTTAAAAATATCTCCCAGAGCCCAACATTTTCCGTGTGATTCTTGTCAGATGCCATTCAATTCCATATTGGATAACATGGCGTTGCTCTGCGGAGAGGAGAGGGATTCGGATATATTTTCTACGGTCTTATTTAAAGGTTTTCCTACCTGATACGACTGTTGACATCATTTTTCACGTAGTGCAGATGTTAATGCCGGTCTTCATCCATGGTGGTAGGTACAGTGTTACCACACACAATAAAATTTGACAGAAAACTCCACTTCAAGAATAAAACGCCCCTCCTCTCTCTGTCGACCATGGTGCCTGGAGGTCACAGGACGCCGTCCACACCACGGCGTTGGCAGCGCTGACTCACTCATTTTCTGTTGACGCAGTTTTCTCTCTCCAGAACCAGGAACTATGGTAGACTACCTCTTATTGGGAGGGGTAACTACACCTTTGGTGGACTGTCTCACACGTAACCACTTCTCGTATGGACAGACTATGGTAGTTTATCTCATACATACCGTAGATGGAGACTATGACAGACTGCCTTTCGTTCGTGTGGACAGGATTTTAGCAAATTGCCTCTAAACAGTTATTTTACGATTTAAATGTGATTTTCGCACGATACCCCACTTACTTTGCTTTTATCCTCTTCACCACTGATTACTCGTTAGCCGCTTGGGCGATCGGTCACGTCTCTGTTACGCACTGTTGGCAAGTACTGGGAGTGCTTGCTTACAAATATTGTTCCTGGTGCCTCTTTAGTTGTGTGATTCATAAGTGTGCCACCCCTATGGTGTTATAGTCTAAATAATCTGGATTAAAACTGCCGTGGGAAGACTAGACAAAAGCTGACACAGTTATGGTAAGCATAAAGGTGACAATTAAGGCTGGAAAGTAAATAACGTCACAAGAATCTTTTGAACAAACGCTTTTAAATATCAGGAAAATAGCTGGTGTGTGTTGATGCAAACTGTGAGTCTACTGTGTATGTATGTACAGTATATATAAGCGTGTATGCAGTTTCCTGTGAAACTTCCCCGACAGAATAAATGACTTGATATCAGTTTTGTGACAACCAAACATTATAGACAGTAAGCGAAGAAGAGCCAGTCCAGTGCATAACTAACAAATAATATTAGTTTGAAACTACCGTTGTCTACACACTATAATCTTAATCTGTCCACAGTAAAGTTGTTACTGTACATCTTATCGACTGCTATTACACTAGTATATTTAGAATTATTTCCATCCGAAAAAAAGCACTTGAGGCGTACGTTATTGTGTCCACTTCAGTAAGGGTAGGTTCACTTGGCATACGCTCCTCGCTGCCGTGTGGAGTCCGTGGGCAGATTCTGGTCTGTGTAGGCGGTACAAGGGGCCCAAAATTGAATTCACCGGCAGGGTTGGTAGACACTGGTAATGGTAGGGGTGGTAGGCTGTTAGGATTGGTAGTTACTAGTGTGTTAGGGGTGGACCGGGTGATAGGTGCTGGTAGTGGGGGATTGTAAATACTGGTAGTGGAGATTATAAGTACTGGTAGTGGTAAGGATGGTAGGTACTGCATTGGAGTCTAGTAGTAGTGGTAGGGGTGGTAGGTACGTACTAGAGTATGTTCTTATGTGTCATGATCAGTTCGTGTTTCACCAAGTTAACAACACACTGCTTGTCCACTGTCATATAGGCGTGAACGTAAACAGATTCAATATGTATAAAACCGTACACTATATTCTGTGAATACTGCAATAAACGTGAGCAATGATTTTTTGCTATTTAATTTCCAAAGGACGGGTGATGAATTGACACCATCTGCAAGGGGTTTTTTTATTTAATTTTTCTTATTAGACAAAAGGATGTACTGTATACCGTATTCTTAAAATTCGTAAAATACTGAACGTGCAGTGATGTTAGTCTAATGGTTTTCTATACTTGAATTATTTATAATTCCAACAAACTGCAAGGGAGAGTGATTTCAGTTGTTCATATGCAGGAACTTTTTGCCTCAATGTGGGAGGAAGGGCCGCACCCACCTCCAGCCCCCCTCTAGATCCGCCCTTCGCTTTTATTGTCATCGGCATTGTCCCTTCCCCCATGTCTCCCCCAACCTCCCTAGAATACGATTTCCACCCTAATTTGGCGCCGAAAATCAATACTTTGGCCGCTGGCGTAACCAAGTTCACCTCACGCCAATATTTCGCTCGCTAGACCAACACCTTCACCACCTCAGGCCTCAGATGTTACCAACTTAACACATACACTGTAGTTTATTTATTTTTTAGTCTCTTCTTGAATGCTAAGTTTGCCCTAAGCCTGTCAGTAAACTAAGAAGCCTACAAGACAACAGTACTGTACTGTAGTTCTAAGATGAATAATATCATATCTAAAATGTTATTTTTCGAACCTTCAGTTGTACTCATATTAAGTGTCATTAACTTGATACAGTATATCTTGTCAAGTGCCACAAGCTTAGTTCTAAACATTTTGTGCCAACGGCCGTGAACTTGATTCTAAACTTGTCAAATGTCAAATCTAGAATTGGCTCTAAGCATTTTGTCACATTTCATAACGTTGCTTCAAAATTTTGTATCATCAAACTTTTTACATCCTGTTGTGTCAAATTCAAATCTAAAAATATCGTCATCAACTTCGTCTTAAACACCCAGTGTCAAGTGTGACTTAGCTCAAAAATGTTTTCTTCATAATCTGTACATTCTGTTCACCTTATTTCTTGAGTTCTTGATTATCTCATTTGCACTTTCCTAACGTTCCCTGTCTTTGTGCTGACATTCAAGCAAGTGAGGTATTCAAAGTATTTTCAGCTGTTAGGCGTGCCAGGATTTAACCACGAGTAGAGGTGAACTTTAATGGTAGTTACACACTTCATTGTTGAGGCCAGACAAGCAACTTCCCCAATACTACTACTGTACATCACATCCACAACAAATACACTCTGTAAATTTGTACTTATAAACATTACTATCAAAGACTTTTCAGACCTTGACCAAGTGGAAAGCATTTGTGAGACGCTAAAGTGAATCACAAGTGGTATGTCCCTGAATTCCTAATTACATTCTTACTTTTGCATAACAATAATGCTTACTGTGGTGTGAATTGTGGGCTAATCAATGTATTTCATCTGCTGTACAACCATCAAACCTTTACCTAATAGAGGCAACCAGCTAGTAGAACCGAAATGCCATGGAGCCACATCATAGAATTACATTAAGGCATGGAAAAACTGTTCTTCTGGTACTGTACCCCTTTGTGCCATTATACAGTATACTGTATTGCTATCAATAAGCACATGCATGTACTGTATTATGGAATGAAGTAGTTTCTGTATTACATCAGTGAAGTCATAAATTACCTTATATATTCAGTTTCTATTCCACATTGATACAATACTACCACTGCACTTACGACCTCACAAAAGCCGTCTTATTATCCTTTTTATTATTTTAAGTACAGTATGTGTTAGATATGAATAACAATGGGAAAATATGTTAAAATACACCCACCAATTATATTGCTTCTAAATTCTACATTGCTATCCTGACGTAGAGCATCAGTTTATACATGTTGCGGGCATGTTCACAATTCCTGACAGTAAATGTGGCCCTCACTTACCTACGGCAGCATGTCTTCTCATACCAGGGGACAAGATTACAGTACTGGAGTCACAAATAAGCCATTACGCCCCGCAAGATGAATAGCCCACCTGCTTTCAACCCCCCTGCTTCCCACTTCCTAATTTTAACTTCTTGTATCTACAGAGCCATGATGTATTGTTCAACTATGACTACCAGTATACAGGCAGTCCCCGGGTTACGTACTAGTTCCGTTCCTATGGATGTTCTTAAGTAAAAAATGTACTTCAAGTTGAACCACATACCTTATGTACAGTTGCTGGCAACTTTTGCTGGCAACTGTACATACAATACAGTACCATACTAACCGAAAAATGTTTAAAATCTCACTATATCATAGCCTAAGTCCTTAATTACATATAAAATCACTTAAATTAAGAGAAAAGAAGAAATAGAATGACAAAATACAGTAAATGAAAGTACAAAATAAGTCATCAGGTAAATAAAATATGGTAAATATAAATTTTAACTTTAAGGGACCTCGTTCGTATCGGCGGATGTTCGTAAGTCAGACATATGTAAGCTGGGGACCTCCTGTGATGTATGAATGGTAATAAAAAAAATAAAAAATAAAAACATCAGTACATTACAGTATAGTTTATTAAGCCAAAGAAACAATGACTCGTGTTTCATTAGCCTTAAATTCTGACAAATGGAAATTCTGCACAAATTCACTTAAGTGAAAAGGTATATTTATATACTTATTTTTTTTTATAAAAATGAGTTTTATTTAACAAAAGATATACAATGGTTAAATATTACATAAAACAAACAGTAAAAAAATTTTCATGGGAAAATCCAGGCATTCAATCGGCAGTAATTTGGCTAATATGGACACTTCTCTCAAAACACAATATCATAGATCAAAACTTCTCCCCGACTTAAAAATAGCACATTAAAAAAGTTAAGCTGCGCTTCTATACTGTGAAAATTACTTACACAATCGCATGCATGCACTGCAGGTGCTCAGTACTATTTCCCCCCAATATTACAACTGTACTTTTCTTTTGAACATTTTGCAAAGCTACAAATCGTCTACTTACTCAATATCTAGCAGCTAATGATCCTTAACTTACATAACAATCCTACTACCTGGTACCCTCAACTTTTCAATAAATAGGACTGAAAAAAAAAAAACTATTTTGCAGAGGAGATCTCAGCAGATGTGCAGAAACTTCAATAATCCGTATAATACGTCGGTAAACTTTTACACAAACTTCAATTAAAACCACACAGCAACTTTATATCAATTATGGAACACCTGATAAGACCTCAACAGCAACTTCAACTTGGTTACATACACAGAAATAGACTACAAGATTACGAGAAACCCACGTGGGCGAGAACTAGGCCAAGACAATAAAGGCAAATATACGAGGTTCACACACTGCAGAAGGTTCACTGAGCACACAGCCATACTATTAAAAAACTTAATCTCATTAGTTTTGTCTGGGATCAAACATAACTCTCCCCCACATACTGGAGCCTTAATGAGTTACACTAGGAGGTCTCAAAGTTCTCAGCATAACTTTTCAGTTCAACTGAAAATTAAAGATATGTAATTATTATACCTCATTACCTGTGACTGTTAACATGTGGCAAAAGTTAGGTTTGGGACATTTACCAACTGAAGTAAACTTTCAATAATATGGCTAATTTCAATTATGGTGGCACAGCCTCCTTATCAGTCCTTCTCTTAGCTGCTCTAAGAACATGGTGAACTTGGGTATCAACTTATATTACTTCATGTACAGTGCAATAAGCTTAATCTGTATGTATTACAATTTAGTATATTACTAAAGCACAATTTCTTTGAAAAAGTTCACCGTAAAATTTTGTGCTGAACTACAAGCACAACTACAGGAATAAAATGAGGCTCTTAACACACCATCATTTTAAAACCATTAAATAATAATTAAAAACCTAAGAGTGCCTATCTATAAGATTTAGTCAACTTTCCTTCTTGAACAGAAGTGTAATAGAAAATGTCAAAATGGGTAATTACAGTATAGCTTTATCAATGACACTTTGTACAATCCCACATTACACAATTAATACTTCTAACGTGATTCACAGTATCTTTACCTAATGCTGTTAAAACTAACTCCAGTCTGACTTTCTTATTTCCACAACTTTATCTAGATCACTCCAAATAATGATACTAATAAATTAACTGTACTGTACATTCTTCTCTTCCATAATGACTTATCCTGGGCACTGGATAATTCTAATAAGAGAAAATATGTGATCACTGCTTAATCTTATAAATTAATCAATTTATCCTTCACTACCTCAGGTGGTGAAGGTTTAAATGAAGTCCACATACTACAATGGATAGTAATAAATATACTATCCAAGGATAGCAGTCCACATCCTACCCGTCGATAGTCATCCATATTTTGGCCAAAAAGAGCAGCCCATATACTGAGTTATCTTCAGATAGCCTCTCGAGTATGGTAAACCTTACTCATTATACACTACAGTATACCAACACCTCTGCTATCACATGGTGCTTATGAGAGTATAGTAATTAGTTCAAATGTCAAGTTTCTTGGTGTCGATGAATTTGTCAAATACAAAGGGAGGACACAACAAAGAAATACATTAAGATAGATGACTGTCATCATCATTATTGGATATCTTTTATTGTCTCTCTATTTCATATAGAAATGATATACCAATGACGTGCAAATCTTCTAATTGTCAATGAACTCTCATCCCAGGACCATCAGAGCAAAACATACTACAGTACCTGTACCATTAAGTGATATAACTTTATAGTGCTCACAATATTATAATTCTTCAGGTTTTAAGGACATGTCTGTAATCAAATGAACGGATTGAAGTATAAATACATATGTAATATATATAAACATATACCCTGTACACAAGTATACATACACATTAAAACATGTACGTATGTATATCTATGCACAAAAATATTTCCAATTTGATCAATACAAATAACAATGAAGTATATATTAATTGTGTAATCTATTATTAAATGCCTTAAACATGTTTCTAAAATTCAAAGGGGTGAAAAGGTAAACATAATCGTGGCCAGGAATTTTATCTCTTAGGTAGACACCATGGCACCCCCTCAGCCCTTGATGTTTGATAATGCACTGTACACGATGCAGAAGTGCAAATTAAATTAATGCAAATCAATCCTACCTTTCCTTTCAAATATATAAAAGAACTTTATCTGGGCAAGGGAATTGGACTGGGATTTATTTGGTCAAACCGTACTGTCCAGTCAGGTTTTATACTCCACACACACACAAACATTACAGAATGCATAGTACAGTACGCACACAGTATATCTGGTGCACAAAAATTTATCCGAATAACAACAAAGAAAAAATTTTCTTCTATATATATATAAAAAAGACAAACACATAAATTTATGTAAGGGGATGGAAGAGCACACAAAGGAGAACTAATGCCAGGGGGAATAAAACTGTGCATTGAAAGTCTATGGTGTTACATCTCCCAAACTTGAAAGATTTCTCTTCCATTAGTGTGGCACCTGAGAACTTAAATAAACTGCATATTAAGTTATTCTTCAACCACTTTTCATTTGTTTTAAGGAACATAATATCCACTATTCATTTGACTACAAAAACTAGGAGTCTGGAGGTTTTATCATAGTGGCATGTGGCTACAATGACCACAAAGTCCGAACCTGCTCCCACTGTGCATATGCATGTGGTGGTTGATATGGTTGTTGTTGGAACATTTTTGCCGTCTCCTGATAATCAAATGCTTTCTTCTCATTAGGCATGAGAGTATGGCTAGCATGACCATTATGGTGAGTTTTCTGAGGCAGGGACACAGGCATTTGTTTCACATACTCAGCATAGTCAATTCCCTTCCTCTCACTGTGAACAAACCTATGGCTGTTCAGATGACTTTCTTGTGTAAATCGTTTTCCACACTCAGGACATTCAAACCTTTTCTTCTCACTGTGTACAAACTGATGACTAATGAGGTGGGTTTCTTGTCTAAACCTCTTTCCACAGTCAGCACATCCATAGCTTTTTTCCTGGGTGTGGACAAACCTGTGGCTGTTTAGGTGGCTTTCCTGAGAAAATCTTTTCCCACAATCTTCACATTCAAATCTCTTCATGTCATTGTGCACAAACTTGTGCCCATTTACATGATTTTCTTGAGGCACTCGATTCCCCCATTCCTGACGTTCAAATTTTTTTTCAGCACTATGAACATACATATGACTGTTGAGATGGATCTCCTGGATGAACCGCTTACCACATTCTTCACACTCAAATCTTTTCTCCTCGGTGTGTACAACTCTATGGCTGCTCAAGTGACTTCTCTGAGAAAACTTTTTTCTACAGACCTCACATTCAAACCTTTTTTCTTCACTGTGCACAAACCTATGGCTGTTGAGGTGACTCTTGCGAGTATACCTCTTGCCACACACTTCACACTCAAACCTTTTCTCACTATGCACAACCATGTGGCTGTTCAGATGGCTCTCCATTGAGAATCTCTTTCCACAAATAAGACATTCAAACTTTTTCTCCACACTATGCACAAGCCTATGGCTGTTGAGGTGAATTTCCATCGTGAATCTTTTGCTACATGTAGGACACTCAAATTTCTTTTCCATGGTGTGTACAAGATGATGGCTGTTGAGATGTATTTCTAGTGCAAAGCGTTTACCACAGGTTCCACATTCAAAATTCTTTTCAACATTATGTGCATTCATGTGGCTGTTAAGGTGACTTTTCTGTAGAAACCGCTTCCCACATTTTTCACATTCAAATCTTTTCTCCTTGACATGCACAAGCATGTGACTTCTGAGATGTGTTTCCATTGTAAATCTCTTATTGCACAATTCACATTCAAATTTCTTTACTTGACTGTGAACGAGCATATGGCCATTAAGGTGACTTTCCATGGTGAATCGTTTGTCACACATTTCACACTTAAAATTTTTGTCAGCACTGTGGACGATCATATGACTGTCAAGATGACTTTCCATAGTAAACCTCTTGTTACACATCTCACACTCAAACCTTTTCACCTTTCTATGCCACACTATATGGTTATTAAGGTGACTCTCCTGAGCAAATCGTTTACTGCATTCATCGCACTCATATGGTTTCTCAGTTGTCTGCAACCACATTCCAATTTGGGGCACAAGATGCTGTGTCTGCTGCTGGGGTTGCTCCGGCACTGTCTGACTCGCTGTATGTGTTCTGGCTGGATACTGAGGAGGTGCTGCTTCCATTCTGGGATTTATTTATGTGTTGTTACAAAGCATCAATGAGCTCTTCTGCAGTGTTGATGTGTGACCTTATAATTCAATTCTGCCACACTGAGGAAGCATCAGAACAGCTATATGTCTCTCTGAAATTAAAAATATTTATTTATGGTAGATGGTGAAAGGTTGAACTTAATGAAAATATTCTATTAAACTATTCATCAGACATGCAAGTTTCCATTTAAATCCTAACAGTACAGTATTCACCTATCATAAAGGCACATATGGTAATACTGTATCCAACAACAACACCAGTACGGTACCTATCAAACTAGATACTGGACATTTTGCACAAATTTGTTTTGTTAATTATGTACAATATATTCCAGACAAATATGTCAGTCCTGTTTGTTTGACATTTACTGTAGTATTAACATTACAGTGAGGCAGGTGTGTGACTTTGTACAGGGGTCTCATAGGTCACACAAAGGAAAATTATTTACTTATTTATTATTTTCAGGTGAGAGAATCATAACAAACCAAAGAAGATGAGAGAAATTAACAATAGAGGAAAGTCAGGTTAATATTTATGTAGGGCAAGTCAGATGCTATACACCGATCAGTTGCCAAAGAATTTAATCAACAACTTCACATGCATGCACACTGATCACACAACTGCCCTCACATACAGTAATCAACATGCTTTGAAGTTGACAGTGAAACATTTGAAAATGTACTATGTATTTTCCCTACTGTTTGTGAGTTATGAGATACCCTGAACATTTTCGGCTCTGAAACCATACACTTGTTCATTGGCCCAAATTTTTATACAGTTGTCTCTAAATTTATATACTCTTATCAATTTCTTAATAAAATAACACAAAAAAGGTGTCCCTGAAAACAAAACCATATACAGCCACTCCCCGACTTACGACGGGGTTAGGGACCTAAATCCAGGTCGTAAGTCGAAAATGAGAAGATAATACATAGAAAATCTAAAATGGGTGTCTCTTTTTCTTCTCAGCACCACAAAACTCTCACTTTTAAGCATGCCAGTCATTTTAAAGGGCATTACAAACAAAAAAATTTTCAGTACACAGCGCAATCACTAACATCGGGACTCGAAAATACGTAATTTAAAAAAATTTTGGTACGACTGAGGCGGTCGAATGTCCGAGTGGTTGTAAGTCGAGTACCCGGTAGGTCGTAAGTCGAGGAGTAGCTGTACTGTACTGTAGTTTTTATCTATACAGCCTCTCCTCGACTTACGACACACAGTATTCGACTTACGACAACCCGGACATATGACGGCCATGGTCGTATAAAATATTTTTCACATTACGTATTTTCCAGTCCCAACGTTAGTGATCGCACTGTGTTTTGACAAAATTTTCGTTTGTAATTCCCTTTAAAATGGCTGGCAAGCTTAAAATTGAGAGTTTTGTGGTGCTGAGAAGAAAAAGAGACACCCATTTTAAAATTTCTATGTATTATTTTCGCCTTTTCGACTTACGACCTGGTCGTCGGGACGGAACCCCGTTGTAGGTCGATGAGAGGCTGTACTTAACCATGACAGTCAATGATCGGGTCACTTTAAACAGGTCATGGGAGGTTATACTGTATAAACATCTGGATCAATTAAGATGAGTCACCATAGTTTATTTCACCTGAAGATATGACACCACAGCTTATTTTACCCAAAGATTAACCACCCCAGCTTATTTAACTGGAAGATTACTCACCCTCCAGCTTATTTGACTGGAAGATTACTCACCCCCAGCTTATTTCACCTTAAGATTAACCACTAATGCTAACCTAACCCCATTATGTAGCATTAGCGTGGTTGATCTTTAAGTCAAATAAACTGGGGTGGCTTCAGGCAAAATAAGCTGGACTGTTTAACCCTCAGGTGATACACACATCTATTAAAATAACATAAGACATAATTCTTTCCAAGTTTCAATAAATCTAAATGCAATACAAATGAATAACAATTATTAGAATTTTGTTCATGGACCAATACTAAGAGAGACAACCACAGACAAGGGTGGCAATGCTGAATGAACTCTTGTCATAGTGTTGTATTATGTTGTCAAAAATAGTAAAAAATAAAATAAAAATAAAAATAAAAAATATTGTTTATAGAATTACATCACCCACGGCAATTAAACCATGAGCAAGTATCTAGTAAACACTGAAGCAAGTTATGTATGTCACATAACCTCATTGTGCACCACTGTCCAGCAGGGTCATCAATTTATTCACTGGTTACTACAGTCATCTCAAACACACCAAGTGTGTTAATGAAGCTCGCTATAACTTGCTTCAACTATACTAACACTATGAGCTATGAGAATACAAAATTTAAAAGTTTGTGAAAAATAACAAACACCAAACTACTCTTAACTACACTAATGAATTCAGTTTAATTCTATTTGTGTTTGGGTTAAGTTAGCTTGGTTCAGTCACATTTTGAATCACCTTTAGTTTAAGCACCTCAACTTATTTCACAAAATGATTAAACATCCTTATGCTACCTTGGGGGATTAGGGTGTCTAATCAATAGATAAAAAAAGCTGGGTGTCTAATCTTAATGATCCCATATTTTTCAAACAGTTTAATACTGTACTGTTATCCTTTGAGTTCTGTAGGTTGTACACTTTGTGCTCTTCCTCAGAGATACTTATCATATAATTATACAAGTTGAAATTAATTTTCTGAATCACTTTTTTCTTCAACAGCAATCTGTTTAATAATTTTGTATAAAAGTTTGATTAAAAAATACAAATAATAAAGCCCAATGAATTTGAATTCACTAACAAAAGAGCAAGTAGGCAGTGGCTTTCATCCCTTCAAGCGAATCATCAAACACGAGGCTGAACCAACATGATGGTATACGATAATTTTATTGAACAAGTATCTATTTATCTGATGTGAGCAAGTGACACCCTTACGCTAACACCGGGGCAGCAAATAGCCACATTTCAAATTGAATTTTAATGCCAGATCTACTTATTTTTGCTAAGTAAAACTTTTAATATAATTTTTGTATTCCTCACATATGATTGGTAAGAAATTTTACGGAAAGTATATTTCATATTCTACACAGTACTTCAGGCAGTCTTTGTTAATGTCACAATGTGCTGAAGACACAGAAGCCAAGGCCTTCCTGCTGCTTGATAAGTATAATTGGTAATTTATTATTTGTATATTCATCATCAACAACCCAAGAATAATGATGGTTTAGTGGCCTTACTGTTCTTAACATCTTATCTGTTCAGTTACAAATTTTGTATGAAGAAAACACTAAAACCTCTAATGTAACAATACTATACAAAGAAACTACATAATTACTGTTAAGACGTTATAAGAATTAAGTAAATAAGGAACAGAAATACTGTAATGGTCTCACTGATGATTTCCTCTATTGTTTTACCCATCTACACATGTATAATAATTTATACAGGTATGTTGATGTTATCTGAGTCAAAGGAAGAACATTTCTGAAAGCTTGATACTAGTGATAGAAAAATATTATGTAAAGTGTTGTGTATCGATAATGTGTGTGTGGACGTTATTCAGTACAGGTCGTTTACCTCTATTTTTGCCACACTTCCACCTCTACTTTTATCAATTTAACATCCACTATAAAGACACAAAAATAACGCAGACGATAGTGAGAGAGGGGGAATTTGAGTACAGATTGTGGGAAAAATACCCCCAACTACCATTAAATTCATTTTCGGCAGCCTTACTACCTGCCACCATAATCGAATTCGTGTGAACACCCTAACATCATTCTTTATACACTTCCTACCTCACTCCCATATTAAAACAACCCTCACGGTGTAGATATGATGGGAAATAAGCCAACAACTCACCTCAGTGTGTGGTCACTTGAGAAAAAACAGGCAGAGGCGTCCATATCTGCGAGGGAAGCGTAATGGTCTATGGCGTCGTTTTTGTTGTGGTAGAGAAAGGCGTTTCCTGTGGCGGCTGATCCTCTTCCTCCCTCTACCGTGTCTCTCCTCCTCTCTACCTCTCTTTACAATCTATCTCACATTTTACGATTTGCCAGGCCGTATTGTGGTATTAAGTGTGGCTTTCATAATTTTGTTTAAGTGAGCTCCAGTGGCAAAGGGAAACGTTGATTAATATTCCCCAGCCGAGTAACAGTTAACCTCTCAACCGCCCAAAATTCCCTTCAGCTGTATCATTAAATTTACTGTTAAAATTAAAGCTAAACAATATTTCCAAATAACACAAAACTTTTAAATATTGTTGAAGAAATGTTCGTATTGGTTGTAGAAAATTAGAGTATTGTTAAGAATACACTTATTCTGGCAACATATTCATAGAAAACGAAATAGTTCTAAACTTAAAGGCAAGACGCAAATAAAATAATCCATTAAACAATGAAAACTTGTACTGAATGGATAAGTTTATTTATGAAAAGCACTTTATCTGGTGGTATATACTCCCATTTATCTTCTATCCAGATTCATTGTAGGCATCACGGATTTGATTTTGATCTACTTGTCCTGATTCTGTGAGTTATCTGGTATAAACTTAGTTTCTTAACTCTGTTCTTCCAGCTAACAGGAGAAGGTTTCTACACCGATAAACGGTTGGTTCTTTATCCCAAGGGACTTACCTTTGCTCCTCCAGATTAATAAAGGACAGTATTTATTGTCCATCTCGGGTGATGTGAAATAGAGGTGACCAGAAGACACGGATGGAGCCATACCCAAATTTCTACATTCTTTAAACTAAAACTGGAGTTTGTTGATATTTAGGATGAGTTTAATTATGCTTAGTTTGGTATGCTGGAAGACTAGAAGGAAGCCCCCCCCTAACAAATTATTATTTGGATTAAATCCTTTAAGTTTATTTTGGTTAAATCAAGTTCTTAAAGCAAGTAAATAAGATCCACGACTACGGTATACAGATGGTCCTCGATAACACTGCGTACTCCTGCACGAGCTAGTAGAACGTTTGCTCTCAACTGACGAAGACCGGACCACTGAGCACTGATTAACACACCCCTACTGTCCTGATGATGGTGACTTCGGCCTCAAGTAGGATTTATATTGTGACGAGCCTGCTGATCAACACGTTGTATTCTTTGTATTTAGACACACACTTAAAGCAGGAGTACATATTTGGTGCTTATTGCTTTTAGGGGACTTCCGCGTCAATTGTTTAGACTATAACACTAATTATTGTCTTTAATTACACCATAAAAGAGTTACATTCAGCAGTCAAATTGCTACTTTAATTATCAGAAGGATACCATATAATGTTTTCCTTGCTAATCACAGAATGCTGTTACTAACATCTAACGAATAATTTTTGTTCAGTTGAAATTACCTGCTGTCTATTTTTGAAGTTATTCAGAAGTGTATAAACTTTCCCAAATAAACTACTGACACAACTGGGGGAAGGGGAGAAACACCAGATTTAACTAAGTCTTCCATTCAATGATAACAGAAAACGAATAATCTTCAGTGTTGCCATAATTGATATAAGACTATACTTTCGCAAAGGTGAAGTGAAAGCTTACGAAATTTATTCAACCACATTACAACGTTTCTTCGATAATATGAAGTTTTATCGGAAAAAATTATTTGACAGTCTGCCAGAAATAACGTCTACACACACAGAAAACGAGAGATAAAATGATGTAACTGTTATTCAGGATTTTATCCGTTACTCTTTGTTGTGAAAATATATTCCTCTTTTTTGTATTTTATCTGTATTATAAGTAAATTTTCCTAAAGGGAAAATTATCAATATAGAATTATATTATTTAGACAGTGTTGATATTCACAAAAAGATAAATTAATAGGAATCATTTGGCGTAAATTTACTAAATATACATTACTGAAAACTGTAGTGGCCTTACCGATCGCTCCTTCTTAACCAATCAACTCTTAGAAGCTCGAATATCCTTCTCGGGAGTTGGCGACGCTGCTCTGCGGTGCGTGGCGTCACTACAGTTACTGTCGCCTCAACAACAACCTACAATTCAGGGGGCTCACTCTCCCTTATAAATCCATAAATATTCATCATGTACATTTCTCAATAATTACATCATTTGGAATTACTGTAACAAAATATGTTGTAAAAATTTCATATCAAAACTGTCTATTTCATTAAACATAATAGATAATATCATTACATTAAAAAATATCGCAAGAAAAGGATCGTTCTGCCTGTATCCATTTACCTTGCAGGGAAACGATAATAGACAAAGCTGAACTTCTCCTATATATCATTCCACGCTTGACATCGTTGTGACTTTTAGAGATCAAATTTATATTGGTTGGTGGACCAATATGTTCTCTTACCCTTATTTTCCTCAATCTTAATTTGTTACTTTTTATCGTGTTTGTCACAGTTATGAGACTGTGGTCCCTGTGATAATAAAATGGCAGTCCTAAGTAATTATTTGTAGTGTAATTGGTAATTTGGTTTGATCCAGAAACACTCACTGTGTGTTCATTGTTTCCATTTACAAGTTTTGTACACACCCTGTAAATGATTCCTCATTCCTGGCTTTTTTCTGTTGACCATCCCTATATCATTTTAGTTCAATTCAATTCAATTTCAATTGTTTATTCCTTGATAGAGGAAGCGGGATCCTAGTGCTGTCACTAGGTACCCCTGTACAATGACACCAGAAGCATCTGGCAAGTGTGACAAGTATATACAGTATAAATATTATAAAGGGGCTTACTAAAGCCTAAGGAAGGAAGGATATTCCTTTAACACATAATCAATATTATTTACAAAATATCTGGCCAGTATGGGGAGGATCATCGTGTCTCCGTCAGGGGGTCGTGGAGTGGTGGTCCAGCAGGCGTCACGGAAGTGTTGTGTGTGGGGACATCTTAGGAGGTAGGGGACAAGGGTTTTGCTGTCGGGTCTTCTGCATAATGCACAAGAGCGTTGCTCAGGGGATGTGGGGATACCAATCTCTCAAGCAAACTCATACCCAATGATGATACGGGCAGCAATCACATCCCCTTTCCGCGACCCTTTCCCGAAGACGTACGAGAGGTTCATTTTAGTTCTCTGTCCCTTTTGTCCCTCCCCCTTGCTGTTGATTCCCCTTTCTTTTATTCTCTCTCTGTAGTTTGTATGAAGTACATAATACACTACACATTGTGATTACAGTATTACTGACTTTGATACTTTATGAATGTATGTCTGTACCTGTATTTGGAAAACTACAATAGTTCTACATTGTGCTGTACACTGCTGAATGTGTAATAATATACTTTGTTAGTTATAATTTTTCATAGAGCAATTGTGTTGGTCTAAACTCCACAATTCAGATGGACTTGACTGTCTGTCCATTTTCTTGAAATATTCTGGAGGCGGCAACTCCTGAAATCCCCTAGTATCAGGTTCAAATTTATCATTTCACCACTTATCAGGTTTCTAGCCATTCAGGTGGTTGGTCTGTTCTTTGTTATAGTCATGTACTTTATGAACTTTATTGCCCAGTGTTAGTACAGGAGGAAACCAGAGTTACTGGAGAAAACCTGCAATATTTGGTAAGGTCACATGTGTCCTGGGTTAAGACTTGAACCACACCCACAGTGGTGAGAGATATGTGCATGACCACTGTGCTCTACCACCAACAGCTTTAGCACATGCACTGTATTATGAAATAAAATGAGAATCCTGTACATTAAAACAAATTGTGGTTTATATACTTGTATAAAGTATTCTACTTTATATGTTTGTACTTATATCCATGTTGTATGGTACAGTACATTTAGTATGTCTACTTCAGTGTATGTATTATATTGTACATTTATACACTCATAGTACTATAAGAAATATGTTGTTTTTGTCTCAGGTTAAAGAAGCCACAAGTTCAGAAAATTGTCAAAGCAAACTTTTTTGGAACAAGAGTTGTGAACTGTTGGAACAACCTGCCAGTGTTGTGACAGCTCCGAGTATGAGCTCATTTAAGACCAGACTTGACCAACACTGGCACAGGTTCAGATACATTCTAGAGCCAGTACATGCCCAATACTGTACTACTTGCCAACAGTGTGTAACAGAGATGTAACCAAATGTCCAAGTGGCTAACAGGCTGATCAGTGAAGAGAATAAAGTACAGTAAATACACAGTAAAGTACATACTCCGGTGTGGTACAGGTTACTCCTGTAATTTGCTTACAGTACCATGTTATATGGTAACAGAATAAAACTGCTATTTATCAAACTTTCTTGAGATATTTTAATAAAATCATGAAAATTTCCATAAATAATAATAATAATACAAAAATAAAAATAGTATTAATATTGCAATAGAAATACAGTATTAAAATAAAAAGAAGAAAATTCCATATATATACGACATTATAGTTCATGATTGATATTCACTTCCAGTAACATCCATAGTAGGAGCAGCAGCATTTGTTTATACTGTACTGTACTAGGTCACATTACTACTGTTACATACCAACACATAATTAATACACTTTACCCAGACTCTAAACTCTAAAAAAGTACATCCTCTTTGCTGAAGCTTCTCCTACAACCAATCTACCTCACACAACTATAAACAGTATGTTTCCAAAATATAAAATGTGTTATACCAAAAAATATAAAAAATAAATTTTGCATTAGTGGAATGCTGAATTGCAATATCACATATTACTCAGGGTAGTTTTTGATAATCCTTCCACACACACATAATGCATAAAGATCTTACATCTGGAAGAGATTTTAGAAAAAATTTCTAACTTTACAGTCACACAGAATGCATAAAAAACTCAAATATGGAATGGATAGGAATTTAAGGAGTCTATTCAGATCGCAGCATGAATCAGCAGCACGTGTTATGATCACCCTTTCAAAAAACCAACGCTCTAAACACATACATTACACCAACTGAAAAAATATTAATCAGCACAATTTGTGTCATTTACTTTTACTTTTATCATAAAATCCCTGACAGATCCCACATCAGGAGGGCACTAATGAGGTCTTTGTATCTTACCTATGAAGCCTCACCCTGTCCAAAGCTGAACAGTCAGTTGAGATGTTTATACAGCCCACCAGAGAGCAATTAAGTTCCTTTGAGGCTATTTCTTTTCCCTCGAGTTACTTTGCATATTTTATACCCATCATGCACCTGTCTATCATTAACAACCTGACCCACCTTGATCTAAGATACTTAATTAACTAGCTGTAGAATTATTGCTGCAGATCTGAAAGATTCCAAAGATGTACAGACAGCATATAGGTTTACACTATAGCCTTCAACACTATTCACACATAAAACTTGCTCAAACAAAATATATCAGATGTTGATGTTTGAAGCAAAGCCTCTCCAAAGGAATGTGTGCTTTTCACATTTTTCACAGTACTAAAATAAGCTACATTCTACCAGCACTGTACGTGTATAAAATGACACAAACAACTGTATATAATGGAAGATTTGAGGTGCTGTGTTTTTGTGACGATTATTTTGATCTTGTATTCCTATTTTTGATGTGGTTACAATTGTGAAGGATCTGTATTACAGTGAAAATTAATCAGAGTGAGTTATAACAGTCAATATTAAGAGCTCCACTTGTATCAACATGAAAAACATTGTAGTACTAACAGATAGTATATTTGACATGTGGCAAAGCTGATATACTCAATTACATCAGACAAGAACAAATTATAGAGCAATACATCATCGTTCTATATCATTTCAGTATGTACCTGAGAACATAAAATTCATAACAGCTACAATCCTCAATAATAGACACTTCTGGAATAAGGCATTATGTTGCATATTTGTGGAGACCAAATCCTTCAGTTACATAACCACTAGTTTTAGACACATCACACAAAACATTTGTACAGTATGTAACAACACAATACTGTACATCATATAAAAACCCTCAGGTGTTCATTGTCTGCATTTGAAAGCTCTAACTTAATCACTATAAAGGTTATACTAATGTGACTTTTACATTACTGTATAAGCTGTAAGCCATGTTACCTCAAACTGAATAAAAAGCATATTTACAACATAAAATAAAAATGCAGTCCTTAGATATATAATATAGATGATTAAAATATTTCCATTATTTTACTGCAACCTAAAAATAATGTGCAAACTACCAAACATTATTGGCATTTAATCTTCCAGCATACAATTTAACCAAAGATGAGAACTTTTATCGAGAAATGGTTGTACACTGTTTCTGTGCACACTGGCTGGTGAGAACCAATCTAAAAAATTTTGTTAACTGATGGTCATGTGTTAACTTAGTTGTGTTCACCCTAAGAGTTCACATCTTGTTAAGTGAGAAACTTACACTCTATTGTCCACAAGACACTGTACACGTTACAATAATCAAAGTACAGTAATTATCATTATTGTTATGAGCATCAAGTGTGTGAATGCTTAATAACTCTGAAACACAAGCATAAACTAAAATACAGACAGACTGCAGATGAATGGCATGGGTGATGGCAGTACCTGCCAATCAAATTCAGGGATCGAGGATACAAAGCCGGGATCATTAAGGTGTTGCTTAACCATTTCACTGCATCATGAGATTTCAAAATGTTTCTCAAAAAGAGTTATTTCTCCATCAAAAAATGTAAATGTTCATAGGAACTTTTTAATGACTTGTTTAATATGGGGAATGTAACCAATAAGTTGGAGAAAAATTTAATGTAAATATTCTTGTCAAATATATTCAGCTTGGGTAAATAAAACCCAGAAAACAGCAGATACTGTACTTGTGGTGCTGCCCTCATCTGCTTCCCACTCATAATGTTGAACAAGCTGGAATGGGAGAGGAGAAAAATATACCACAGGTGAAACAGTGACAGATGGCAGCACCTCCTAGGTACCCACAGGCAAATTGTGGCCTGAGACTAGTTGTGGGACAGTGTGAGCTGTTTATTTATTTATTTATTTTTTGTGGTTGTTGCAGACAAGGAAAATTATTTTGTGTCCACAGACACAAATTCTGCAGCAAATGGGTTAATGATATATGACCTACTTAATCATTATAAAACATGTGACAATATTGTACTGTACTTCTGTTAAGAACATAATACTGTACTGTACAGGTACTGTATTGTGTTCATTAACTTGTCCTTTTATGCTACAAATATCATAGAGGAATATTTTTCATCTTGATAAAATAATAATTAAATGTATCTAAACAACAGAGGAAACGTTGTTTAATCACTGTTGAAGAAATAAATGTACCAAACTTGAAGTGTATCCCTATCACTAAATGGCCAAAACTCATCATTAAGATGAAATATTTTGATCAACACAGCTCTGAGCGCAGCTTCCCTGCTATGATTGTTGTTGGTTATTTTGTTTTAGCTTAAAGGGCTTCAACAGCTGAGGTTATATAAAGCACCAATACACTGGGCCTTAGTTTCTAAATATGAGTTACATCTAAAAAATATTATTTATTCAGCACTAGAAGTTAATAATTGTACCACTTATCAGCTGTTCTGGCAGTTGGTCTAGTCTTTATTATGAACTTTATTGTTCAGGTTCTTGAACAATCCTAAAACACATACTGTATTACCTTGTGTCTCTAAATGGAATCATTTCTATAATTACGACAATATATTACAAACAAAAGTTCACACTGAAGTTTCCAAAGATCAAAACTGATGACACAAGTTCCCTGTAGCCCAATAGTGACAACCCAACAGCTGAGAAGACCCTTAACATTACTGTGGAGTTGAGGTAAACAAAGGGAGTTCTTGCCCTATATGTTATACTGTACACTTTGTTTCAAGGTGTACATATTGTATATTAATCTCTGTTCTCACCTTTAGAAATAGAGTCATTAGTAACATAAAATTCTCAGTGCTACTTACATAAATGTTCACCCGACATTTTAACACGTACAGTAATAAAAATGTAAATACAATCCTTACTGAACTTAAATAAAAGAAATTACTACTTTACTGACATAGTACAGAAAAAAATCATTTTGACTTGGGTATAGAGTTAAATCCTTTAAAATGGCACCTGTCCAGAAAAGTACCTTCAACAGGTAATAGTAAATAATTACTGTATCTCTTTTTAATGATACAGTCCTACTGTAATATACAGATAATAAACAGTATTAAAATATACAAAGGTGTATTTTTTGTTGTATATTGATTCTCTCCTTAGGCCCATGTGGCTGTATTATCACTTGAAATTTTTAACTTAATTACAGTCTACAATGAACTGTAATCTGAGATCCAATTTACATGCAGCTGATTCTTGGAATAAATACTTATTATTATTACCTCTGTTATAATTACAGGTATGTTAATCTATGAACTGTAGAGGACAGTTTACAGCTGACTTGGCTTGGTCCACTTGTATGAGCCGTAGTACATGAAGTTATTTTCAGCGAGCATCTTGTCTGCCTCCACGGGTCCTCTGGAGCCATACTTGTAAGAGATGGGCTTAGGTTTCTCCTGTTCAATCTTGTGCAACAAAGGTGTGAAGATTCGCCAAGCTTCTGCCAGTTCATCACTCCTGTCAATGTAATATAAGCAAGATAAAATATCTATTATATTAGTATTTCATTATAAAATTACAAGATCAAATATTAACTTTTTACTTTTACTTTTATCCTATTCGCCACTAATTGGCTTGTAAGCCACTTGGGTGATCGGCCACGTCTCTGTTATGCACTGTTGGTAAGTACTGGGCATGCACTGTACAGTACTGGAATTGCCAACAGTGCATAACAGAGACATAGTGTTCAATAATTTTTTAACAGTGAAAATACAATGCTTGGGATTTAAAGTGGTAACTTTTTTTTTTCAATGGTATACAGTATTTTCAAATTTAAATTATTTCATAGTGTCAACATCTGGTAAAAATGCTTTAGAAACTTTTGCTCAAGGAAGCAAAAATATGTTTATGTAAAAATTAAAAAGTTACTGTTGAGTGTTTAGGTAGTATACAGTACCTGACAAAGTGCATTTGTGATCCACAGAACACATCCAGGATGAGCCTCTCATAGGCATCTGGCAGCTTGGCACCTTTGTAGCGGGCTCCATAAGTCAGGTCCAGCTCTGTCTCTTCCAACCCAAATGACATGCCTGGGGTCTTGGTCATCACCTGAGGAAATACACTAGTTAAGCACACTGTATGTTATAATCTCAGTCGGGCAGTGTACAGTGTGCATGTCTGACTTGTTAAAACTTACAGTACGTATAAGAACCATAAATAAGTTACAAAAATACCTCTTCTAATTGACTGATCTCTTACCTTGAAAGTCCATATTCATTGACTATTAACCTTGCAACAGCCAACCTCCCCCAGTACTGACCTTAGAATAAATAGCTTCTCCTGGCTGGACACGGATGACCAGCTCATTCCTCTTGCTCTGGCCATGGAAGATGTCCCCGGCTACGTCACGGTACTGAATCCTCACCTCAGCCTTACGTTCATTCAACGCCTTTCCTGCAACAAGTCAAAATTTAGTTAATCTATTCTGAAATATTGGTGGAAAGATGAAGTTTTAGTGTACTGTACTGTACACAAACTGCAGCTAGTGACTGTTATGTGGGTTAGTACAGTGTCTTAAAATAATTCTGATGAGTATAGAATAAATGAGTGTGTAAACTACTGTATACTTAACCAAGTCCTCTCCACCCATGCAGTACAATACGATCAACCTATTTTATATACAGTAAAGTATATGTGAAATAAGACAAATATTTTAAAAGCATAATCAATACTGTATTGATTATGATAATGAGGTATGTTATACAATATACTGTACATGTATACATTATATTATTATGTTTTAGTTTTACAACATTCATTATACTATTTCCCAACTTGGGCAGGTGTCACTAGCACATGACATAGCACTAGTGTAAAAAAAAAAAAAAAAAAAAAAAAATATATATATATACAGTATAAAATAAATATGCTTCTCACTCCTCAAAATTTCATAAATCACGCCCAACAATTTTTCCTGCACAGACACAACTTTTATCATCCATGAGTTATTGTACCTTCTTGTGAAATACTTTAACTTATAGTGATGAAAGACTAACAAAAATACATACATACATAATATCAAGACATGTAGCTAATATTATCGGTGTCTGAGGCTTCAATGTTAACAACCATCCAATAACATCAGTCATAATAAGTACAGCACTACACCCACCCAACAACCCCCCACTCTCTTGGGTAACCTGGCATCTGGATTTCCTTGACCAGAGGAGAGTTGCACCACCTCCACAAGTTCAGTGTCTGCGCATGAGAATACAAACAATTACCCCAAACTGACTTGTAACACACATACCCCTGGAGATATATACTGTAGTAAATGTACATAAATCAAACGGCTTGAAAATATGATCAGGTAAAATGATTAAAACATGAAAAAAGGCTCACATAAATTCAATGTTCTACTATATGCTGGATGAGACAGACAGACATACATAATTTTATTCAAAGGATCTTCAGCAGTAAATTCAGTAAAATAAGACGTCAAGGCCTTAACTGGATCATCCAATATTACTAACCTTGATCAACAATTTCTCCCAGATAGTGTAGTGAACTGTTACCAATGTGTGTGACCTTTACGTGAGGCTGGTCTAGACCTTGCTCATCGTGTATGTGTATGTATGTGTGTGTGTGTGTGTGTGTGTGTCGGATGCCCACGTTCACCCGCGGGGCATCACAACACTCACTGCCCATCACACCCACCCCCAACTTTCACGCTCACGCCCATATGCTGATGAGGCCCCCACCCACCTGTGCCACCACGCCCGTCTACACCACACCCATAGCCAACATGATTCACAAACTCTCTCCACCACCCACAATGAACCAGCCTTTCCATGAATGAATTAAGGTACCCACTTAGCATATGCAAATTACACACGTTATTCCGTAATGTTATACTGATTATGAGTTGTTATTCATTATAAAGTGGGAAAGTTCATTGAGAAATAATCAGAAAACAAATTAAAAACATTTCTTCAGGTTGCTACAAGGTAACAATGTCTTAATGAGGTTTGGTGAAGTATAAATTGACTTATATATAACCACTACAGTTGTATCTTAACTTAGAATGGAAATATGTAAAGTATGTACCTAGAAATTTGAATAACCTGATAGTACAAAAACAAATTCAGGTCAAAACTACAGGTACAGTATATAAAACCCACTTGCTGTCAGTAATCTCCCAGCCTTGACAATAATTTCCCAGCATTGACAGTAATTTCCCAGCCTTGACAGTAATTTCCCAGCCTTGACAGTAATTTCCCAGCATTGACATTAATTTCCCAGCATTGACATTAATTTCCCAGCCTTAGCATTAATTTCCCAGCCTTGACATTAATCTCCATGTGGTAACGGATATAAAAAAAAAACCCTGTAGATTCTAGGCCAAGAAACTGATTTAGAGTTAAATTATCAATACAGGTACAAGTGAAGGTATAAGAACGTGACCCAAAATATCAAACACAGACCAGTTTAGATTAGGTTAAGTGAACATTCGGGTATTTAATCATATAAGTTAAAATAAGCTCGGGGTGGTTAATCTTCATGTGAGCCTAAATAAATATTAAAAATAAACCTTAACAACAAAATAAATATTAATAGTAGTTTTAACCCATTTAGTGAGATGGACATAATCAAAAGTGACACGATACCTGAATGGGGATATTTATTAACCCACCTCTCTCTCTCTATCTCTCTATGTTGGATAAAATCTTCTGGTATTGTCAAAATGGCGAATTTTAGGTTAGGTTAGGTTAGGTTAGGTTAGGTTAGGTTAGGTTAGGTTAAGTTAGGTTGAAATTATGTTTTTCCAATGGTTTATTTCAAGTTCCAAGTAGGTGGAAGTAAAAAATATTAAACATGGCGTCCTACATGTGAGGGGCTAAAGGGTTGAAACTTGAACGAGAGGAAGAGGTGTATGGTAATCCAGGTAGTTGAGAGCACAGTGAACCTCTCCACGTTGGGGTAATTATATAGTATTTGGGGGTGGACCACGATGAGCTCCCCCGGGCCACCTGACCACCCACTCACCCACGCCCCAACCTCACCACCCACGCCCAACCACGCCACCCACGCCCAACCTCGCCAATCAACACCCACATCCGTCCAGCCCTGCCAATCCACCCTCACACACACAACCCCCATCCACATCCACACACACACACACACATGTTGGGAGGGAAGGAAGGGACGGGGAGAGGGAAGGGAAGGAGGGGAGAGGGAAGGAAGGGAGAGGGATGAGAAGGGAGGAAATGGAAAGGAGGGGAATGAAAGATAACGAGTAAATACAGTGAGGGAATGAGAGGGGAAATAAGGGAGAGCAAGGGAGGGTATACAGGGAAGCAGGGAGGGCGTGGTGGTAAGGGAGTGAGTGGGGGAGGGAGAGAGAAAGCTGGCCAGTCGGTGAGTGACCCAAGTAACTCTGGCCAACCATTTCAGCTCCCGACTACAGTACACAAAGCTTCACACCAGACCAATAGTTGACACCTACAGTACAATAATATAAACACCATGTTATTGTTTACTTATATAACCCATCTCTCTTAAATGAACAAAAGGTTAATGTTTATAAATTTAACATCTAAAACAATATAAATCCCTCATGCGTACTGTACATCCATTAATCAGATCAGGAGAGGCGGAAAAGAGACTGATTTTTACCTTACACCAGTCATAGAGATACACTATAATAACTGTATTTCCAGATTACAGTTAATATATCTTTTATTTTATTGATATTACATAGGGATATTACTGTAGCTACCTGTACTTTATTAATTTATTGTATTTCTGGAGAGAGTTTGAGAGATTGTGAAAGTTTCCGTGTTGCGTAAACTCAGATGTCATTATATATATACAAGTTGAGTAGCCGCGCCTCATCCCCACCCCACACCCACCTTCTCCCCCTTCCTCGTACTGCCACACCCTCTCTAACCTAACCTAACCTCCACCTAACCCCCACTTGCAACCTAGCCTCACCTGGATTCAACCGCCACATACTTAAAACCCCGAACAGGTGAGTACACTAATGTTTACCTGGGCATCAGAAAAACCTACCCCGTCCGATTCCCTAGTTCGTGGCTCCGTCTTCAAGTCCTAAGTCACTCAGTTGCTTCTATCGTCTGTTCGTGTTACTTTACTGTTACTTTTGAGAGAGAGAGAGAGAGAGAGAGAGAGAGAGAGAGAGAGGCGAACATCAATATGCCCATATAAACAGATTAGTGAGGGGAAGGCAGAGAAGAGAGAAAAAAGGGGAAGCTATTAAAACAGGGAAGGTAAGGGAATGAAGAGGAGGAGGAGGAGAAAGAGAAGCAGGAAGAGGAGATGGAGGAGGAAGAAAAAAGAAGGAAAAAGAGAGAAACGAACGTGATAGTGATAACACGTCAATAATGTCTTTATTTACCTGCCATTCCTGGAACACACACACACACACAAACACACACACACACACACACACACACAACCTTGGAGTTACTATTCACTGATTTACTTTCTAAACAAAACAGCTGTACCAAACGCTGTTACTAGTCTTATTTCAAGTTACACTATGAGTTAAATGGTGTATGTATGTATTGTATGTATGTATGTATGTAAGTATGTTATATATGTATGTATGTATGTATGTATGTATGTATGTATGTATGTCTTAAATGTTATTGGTTTTTAGTGAATTTTTAATATCTTTTTAAAACAGCTAAGATAACAATGAGGTGTCTGTAGGAGTTATTATTATTATTATTATTATTATTATTATTATTATTATTATTGCACGCAGAAGTATTTGGCGGTTTTTAAATAAGCGAAAATTAATCCTAAAACCACCTTAATTTCGCGTTCACCGGATTACCAAAACTATAATACCTTTGTTAGTAGTTTAAATTGATAATAACAAATAAATTATAGATTAAATTGATAATAACAAATAAATTAATAAGTAACTGGCACTAAAATTACCATATATATCTTTATGAAGTATTGTAAATCGATAATTACAATGTACTACTTGTGTTGAGTCTTACAGAGCAGTACATGTTGAGATGGGTGGTGGTGGGGGTAAGTTGGTGAGGAAGACTTATAGCCTAGGTGGTGTGAGGCAAGACCAGGGGGGGGAGGTGTTGCAAGGTGTGTATGTGTGTATCTATATCATTACCAGCACTACTACTACTACCACAACTACTATCACTACTACTACTACTACTCCACCATCTCCGTCACTCACCACCACCATCGTCACTCACTCACCACCACTCCTCCTCCCCAGGTGAACAAGAGCGTTAATTACCGAGAAAAAACTTCACTTATACACCTCCCTAAATATTCCTCGAATCTTCCTAACGATCACATGAAGAATCACCACCCCAGCTCATTTCACCTGATGATTAACCACCCTATTGCTATTTGTGGGGGGTCAGGTCACGTTAGGTCAGGTTAGGTTAGAT